GGGGGAGGGAGAGGAGGGGGGAGGAGAGGCGATTTGATTGTGGATATGAAGTTTTTGTTGAAAATGAGCGCGTGGGAAGCTCGCCGTTATATAGTGAGTGAGATATTGGATACCCAGAGTACCCTCTCGGATAAAGCGTAGGCAAAAAGGATAAAAATAAAGATCAAAAAAGCAAAAGACTCATCAGATCTGGGCGAATATTATGAGATCTGATGAGGAGAAAATCGCTTATGATTTTTCTTTTTGGTGTTAATGTTGATTCGTGTCGATCGCTTCCAAGCTCTTTCTTTCCATTTTGGTTTCATCGTCTCCTCGCCGGGTCTCGAATCCATAACCTTTTTGTCCTCCGCTGGCCAGATTGTCCAGACAGTGGTACTTCCACTGCGCCACTGTGCCGCTTGGATTGGAGATGAGTTAAGTTGGGTTATATAGGTGCTCTCGCCTGTGGTGGGGGGTTGGCCTGAAAAAAGAGGGTTGGGGGCTGGCAGTAAGGGGAAGGGGAACTGTTGGGTTTAGCGGTGGAGGGAGCGGTAAGCGGAGGGGATGGGCAATTGCAGTACTACTGCGAGGAATACTATCAGAGAGAGCGGTCAGAGAGAGATTTATAGACATCGTATGCGGGTTTATAATTTGATATCACTTGCAGCGTCGTTACTGGATACACGTGGCGAGACAACGCTACTAGGTTAGAGACGCACCATCACGAGTTTGACATCTCAAACCAAACATACAAAGACCGACAGCAGAATAAAGGGCATCAAGCACTTCTTTGATCATATTCCAACACTGGCCTTAAAAACACTTCTAAAAACGCCAAAACCACCGCCCTGGGTATCTCATATCTTGTCCTCCTCCCCCAAATACAATGCCAAATTCAATCCATCCTTTGGAGCCCCGCCATGCCTCCTACTATCCAGACATAAAATAACAATACGCCACCTCTCTTGTGCCTCTCCGCTGTTCCAGTGCCTCCTCAGAAGACCTGTCAGACCATAACTACCAGCAACTTCACATAAACGCATATGCATCCTCTGCATTTGCGAATGCTTCCGCGTCGTCCTCCAAGAAGCGTTGTATGAAACTCTCATGTTTCTCCGACTCGGTCTCAGATTCAGTCTCAGTCTCGTAGACTGGTGCAAATGGATTTTCCAGCTTATGACCAAAGGCAATCATCGAAGCTTCGGCTTCCTCGTCGTCAAAATCATCGCTGTATTCGTCACTTTCAATCCCATCCATCAGCTTCGTCAATTGGCTTGCGTTTAAGCTCTCTAGTTGTTCCGATACATCATCTGCACCTGCATCTAGCCTGGTCGCATCTTGACTCTGTCGTTTGGCACTCGGTGTGTGACGCTGCGATGACTGTCTAGTGCCGAGTAGTTCTCTTTCAATCCTCATATTCTCCAAGCGCAGCTTAGCTGCCTCGTCATCTACCTTGCTTTGAAGTTTACTTTCGTGAATGGCCGCAGCAAAGAGATCTTCCTCCTTCTCAACGAAGAATCTTGGTTTCCGCGCGCGCCTCATATCCCATGGCGTCGGTGGCGGCGCGGGCACAGGGGATACCTTGCTCGGCAACTCAAGCTCCCGTAATTCCTGTGATGAGAACATCAATTCTCGAGAAGACATCCATGGGAAATCGTCGTCTAGTATTGGTTGTGCTGGTTCAACAAGGATTGGCCGTGCTACCACACTGTCTCTCCCAATTTCACGAGCGACCTGGGTGTTGGATGGGATGTCATCATCTTCAATATCTTCAAGCAACTCCCGCAGTTCTTGCGATGGGCTGGGGAAGAAATCATCAAGGTGGTCAACAAGGAATAGTTGCGTGCTTGTTGGTAAGGTGGACGGCGACACTTTCGGTGCTGCGTGGGTGGGTAATAGGCTGGGCTTGAGGAACGGCTTCGAGCGAGCGGAGGGTGATGCCATTGCCTTGGTTGATGCATTCTGTGCGTGTTTTGAGATATCGTTTAGGGGTAGACGATGGCTAGAGCCACCCGTCCCAGAACCTGGCGCAGATCTCTGTGATAAGGAGTTATTCGCCCTTAGCGCTGGCATCTGTCTGCTTTGCGAGCGTATAGGCGTCGACAAGGTTGTGCGAGGACGGACGATGGAGGTTGGCGGGCCCATAACCGAAGCTACAACCGGGGTACTGGGTTTCGGAATAGGTTTGCTCATTGACCGTAACGCTGTCTGCTTCAGTGAAAAGGGGTTTGAAGATGTTAATTCCGGTGAAACCCCTGAACCGTTGAACTCGATCCGAGGCCGTGGCGTTCTTTGCAAAACCGGTGATGCTAGTTGCCGCCTTGGTGGAGACGAAGGGCACGCTGTTGGTTTGGTTGGGATGGCCGGAGAAGGGCAATGTTGAGGTGAATCCACGACTATAGTTTTAGCGACATTGGCTTGTGCATTTTCCGGTGCCTCCTTTATCTCTATCCTCGGTGAAGAATGGGATGCAGCTAGCGACCTCTCTCCTGCATCAAACGATTCAGAAAGTAGCTGGTGCGCTGCTGCCAGCTCCAGAAAAATGTCATCATCGTCTAGGAAATCCTGCGAGCTAGTAAAGTACTGCGTGCTCGGAGGAAGTTTTAGGTCGGCGGGCTTAGATACTGGATGTCCTTGTGATTCGACTTGGACTTCTTTGTCTTCATGGGCAGTCGGTTCTGCCTGCACTTTTGGGCTTGCTTGAACCTCTTGTTCTTCTTCAGCTGCCGGGCTTGCCTGCACTTCTGCTCTCGCTTGAACTTCCGGCTCTGGTGAGTCTTCCAGATCAGCTTGAAGTTCTGGCTCCGGCTGCTCTTTAAGTCCTGGCTGAACTTCGGGCTCGGACTGAACCACCAGCTCTCGTTTAACTTCTAGTTCCGGATCTTCCGGATCTTGCAGAACTTCTGCCTCTGGCTGTGCTTCCAAACTATTTTCCCTCTCAGTCCTAACAACAGGGACATCTTCCCGAGGCCCGGGCCTATCCTCTGGTTGTGCATCTTCCTCCCCATCCTCGGTATCGCACAGCGTTTTTATTGCGGGGACATTGCCCTGGGCTTTAGAAATGCGATCTTCTCTTTCTTGCATATCCTCTTCCTCCTCCTCCGTATCATCTTCGGCTCCATCCATGGCAACCCTCTTCGGCACCGGCTCCTCGGCATCGTTATCACTCTCGTCCCCCCCCTCCTCCTCTTCCTCCTCCACATCCTTACCCCTCCCCCTCTTCCCCAGCCCCAAAAACCCCGTAATCCTCCCCTGACTAGGCCTCACCCACCTACTCTTCTCCGGAACCCCCGCCTTCTTCCTCTCCGCCCTCTCCACCTCCTCCTTCGCATCCTTCTTCGCCTTCACAGCCCTCGCCTTAGCCTGCGCCTTCTCCCTCTCAAACTCCCTCTTCTGCGCCGCCAGCTCCGCGGCCTCCATGCGCTTGCGTTCCTTCCAGTTCATTTTTGGTATATTGTTGGCCTTTGCGTGGGCTTTCTTTGCTTGTTTGCTTGTCATGGGGGGCCGCCGCGAAGTTGTCATCACCGGGCCCCCGTCGGCGATGGCGATTTTGCTTTGGTGGGCTGCCATCGCGGCCGACGCCTATGTCGTAACCCTAACTATGTCGGAGATAGTTGGGCATGTGAGCGGTGCATTTCGTTGAGGCTTATGGGCGATAAGTTGTGCTATCTGATATGTTTATACTGTAAATATGTAAATAGAAGCAACACGGTTGTCGTGATTGGTTATTTTAGCGCAAGGCTGGGGACACTCAGGTACCACGTACCACGAGGCTGAGATTTGTCAATCAGTGCGGGGTTTCATGTCTTATAAACCTCATCGTCATTGGAGAATAATCACAATAGAACATCGGACACGTTTAATTTAATTAAATGCATTAGTATAGGCTTGAAGGGAACTGTTATGGAGCTGTACTATGATTTACAGTAAGCAAGCTCAGGCACAAAATGTTGTGTTTGTTGAAAGTGCTGGTGAGCGCGTGACGTACTGTGACCAGACGAGGTTGAGGCTTGTCGACAAGATATTCCAAGACACAATCAACAAAACGAACACGAACACATCTGTTATATAATAGAGTAGGGAGATTCATTTCAATTGAGCTAAAAACAAACAAGTAACTTCAGAGAGCGTAAAATCATGACTAAACTGGGTAACGTGTGGACCATGCCATCATCCCAACATACACTGAGATCTATGCGATCTATAAACTCCAAGCAATGCTCAGACGTCTATCCCATCAACAACAACGCCCTTAGTCCAATTATGCTGCAAAATGCGCGCAACCTCATTCGCCGTATCAACGCTAACCATGATGCTAACCAAATACAACGCCGCATCCATGCCACACCCGGTGCCGCCGGATGTGATAACCCGCAAGCCGCCCAACAACATCGCGGCACGACGAGCATTGGATTCGCGCCTGGTGTTAGATTCCTTCCAGGCGTTCGATCCCTTGCGGGCATTTGATGGACGACGAGCATCAGACTTCTTCCTGATATATGGGTTCTCATCAATGTCTTCGCCGAGGTCAAAGCGAAGGTTGTTGACAACGTAGCGCTCCTCCAAGACGTTGGTGCGCTCGGCCAGGTCACGCTGGGCAGCCTGGGAACAGACGTTCTCAAACTTGGTGTAGAAGTCTGGGTGGGTGGTGGCGGACAGGCCAGAAAGAGTACCCACATGGGCAAGGAGGAGGCTGGCAGTGCCAACAGCCATGAGAGTTCGCTCCTTGTCGGGATACTTCTGCTGGACATCGGAGAAAGCTTTGATGATCTTGAGGGGTTGACCTTGAACTTTGTTCTTGATAATAGCCTCAACGTCACCGCCGGGGACGATCAGAATATCGAAGTCTTTGAGATGTTTGTGAATCTCCTCAAAGGAGGCATCGGATTTAAAGATGACACCTTGCTCAGACTCCACGGTAGGAGTGTCGGATGCATAGGTGCAATCAAAAGCTCCAGTGCCTATGAGTGTTCAGATTAGCCGGGGCACAAGACAAGATGCAGGAGCAAAGGGTGGTGAGGTGTGCATTATGAGATGAGGATTATGATAAAGTGAGAACTAGAGAACAAGAGTGAACTTACTATCATCATTGATGTTGTGGTTGGCCTTGTTCAAGATCTCCAAAGGCCCAAGAACGTTGAGGGCATCCATTCCTGGGTAGAGAGCGAACAAGACCTTCACCACCGGAATGGTCCCAGTCGTGTTTTCCATGGTTGCGATGAGTGTGGAATTGTGAGAACTGGAATATTGAATGAAGTATGAATTTGAGATGAAGCTGCTATTGAAGAAGCTTCTTAAAGGATGTTATTTGGATATGTTTTGATGGATTCACAGATGGTAATTGATCAAAGATGGTGAGGGGAAGTGATGATGGAGGTGTGTCTCGCGGACTAAGTGAGGAGGAGGGTCTTGTGCCTAGTCGACAGGGAAATGCGGGGTTTTGCAAGGGTGAGCTGTTAGTGGGCATTGGTCGCTTTAGCGTGATGTGCTAACTGGTTGCAGGAAAACCATCTCGTCATTCAGAATGCGGGGGATCACCTGATCAAATACTGTTTTGGCTGAACCGGCATATATTACGACCATTAGGATAATATACAGTATATCATTTCTGATTTAGATTTCCATGCGTGTCATTCAGTCTTTCCGGCTTTCTTTCCCTTTGAGGCCTTGTTTGCTAGGAGTTTGAACTTTGATAGCACCTTTTCCCTGACGCCTTTCAGGTCCAACTTCTCGGCTTCATCCACACCCACGAATCTCCTAACCAGCAGGTTGAATACGAACCCAAACGCAAGTGCCATGACTGTACTGGTGAATATGATGACATTGTAAGGCATGCTGAAATCCGGTGTGGGAAGTGGTAGTAGCAAGGAGGTTGTGCGAATTGACGTGTTCCCGATATTGATGACTGCCGCTGGTACATCGAAACCGCGATTAGCATCGGGCGGATACTCCGTATACCGCAGGATAGCCTTCTCAAAATCATAGCTGAGAACAACTGTCGAGTTTGCTGGCACGTCCATTTTGATTTCGAGCTGTGTACCACGCTGTCGGTCAAGCGCTGGGCGGTAGTACATCTCTTTGATAAGGTCACTTGGCTCGCCATTAACCTTCACCCTCAATGTGTGCAAGTATACTTTCATGAACCACGGTAATGATTCCATGTAGATGATTTCCACAGTCTCGGTGGGTGAAGGGTTCTTGAGTATAGCTTGAACTCCTCCTCGCTCTTGGCCATAGCCGTTAAAAGAGCGATCGGCGTAGAGCAATGGCTGCTCAAACGGCGTTGGCTTTGCGTGTTGGGCTGGTAAATTCAGCTCGAAGATCTCGTCCGAGAGTTTATAGCAGCGCATGAAACCAGAGCCGTCTTTACGTTCAACAGCATTGCCCGATGTATAGACCTCGGCATCATTATCGATATTGATGCAGACTGACTCAGCATCTTCCTCGGCGAGTGGACATGAACCCTTCAATGGGTGTCCGAATATCTGGGATAATGACCAATCCTCGCCCTGTGCTTCGTCGAGCGGGAAACACGTGTGGTCGTTGCTGTATGGCTTCGAGTTATCGCACTTGAGTTCGTGATATGGAACTGGCCGTGGGATTGGGTTGTCTATCGTACTGTTAACATGGTCAAACACATGGCTGTAGATATACAACGTACCTCTTGGCCGCTTCGACCTCTGAATGTCCAACACCATGTCAATCGTCTGGGTAATCTCCAACCCACCCTCAATAGGCCTAACATCAACGCTCATGCTCTGCCAACTCGCATCAAATAACTTGTGTCCATCTAACAGGCTGCTAATCCCTGCCTTGCCCTTGCACGGCAAGAGCTTCAAGAACGGCGTCAAGTTCTCAGTGCAGACCACCTCTCTCGGCAACGTCCCGTGAAGCAGGTGTAGGTTCTGTAGCGACGCCTCGCTGTGGTCGCCCCGTGGCTCGAACGAAATAACTGGCCGTGTAGTGCGAGTCGAATCAATGAAGTTCAAGGAGGCGCAGAAGAGACCAGAAAGCGCATTCGTGAGAGTAAGCCAACGACCATCCGCCCTGTCCAGCGCATTAGTATCTCTAGCCTCATCCACATCAACCCCAGTAAACATTGAACTCACTCTTCATCGGTATCAGCCTCCACCCAAGCCCATAGTTCTACACCCGTGCCTCCCTCTCTTTCCCCTCCCCATGGCCTCGCGCCCCAACTCTCAGCATCCCACCGGCCGAGGCTGAACCTCAGATGAAGCTCTCGTGTGTTTGCATGCTGTAAGATCTGCCCCAGACTGCGCGGGAAGTAGCGGAAGTTCTGCTGCTCAAAGGCCTCTGCCGTGGTATTCGCGCGGAAGTTGAATGATGCGAGGACGGAGCTCGGTGGTAGGGGGCGGAGGAGCAATTGTTCGTGGTATTCGGATGCCTGGACCGGCGAAATAAAAGACGTTAATCCAGCGCCGATTAAGAGAAGTAATGACCGTAGATACATAGCAGACTTGCCTACAGCTTATGCTGAGGCGCGGGTTGGCGGGTTCATTGATACGATTGAATTATGGGGCGAGGCCAAAGGTGCATCTGTGGCTCGATGCTAGCGTGAATAGCCTCGCCGCAGGGCTGAAATTTATCGCGACCCTCCGCCTCGCGACGTTCACTATCAACGACAACTGTGTCGCTGTACGTTCAACACACATCATCATGGCGGCAGAACAAAGGAAGCTGCTTGGTACGTATACATTTATCTCTTTCCTCAGCATCATCTACTGCTCTGCTTTCACATCCCGCAATGGCCCTCAACTAACACATCACAGAGCAGCTCATGGGCGCCTCGGCCTCCACACGCTCTGCCCAACTCTCCATCACCGACCCCAAACTCTGCCGCTCCTACCTCGTCGGCACCTGCCCTCACGACCTCTTCACAAACACCAAGCAGGACCTCGGACCCTGCCCAAAAGTGCATTCCGAGCCGCTCAAAGAGGAATACCTCGCCGCGCCATCCAAGTACTCCTTCGAGTTCGACTACCTGCGCGACCTCCAGAAGTACATCGACGACTGCAACCGGCGCATCGACACCGCCCAGCGCCGCCTCGAGAAGACCCCTGACGAAATCCGCCAGACCAACGCCTTGCTCAAGCAGATCTCCGACCTCGCTGCCTCCATCCAGACCGGCCTGCTCGAGATCGAAGTCCTCGGCAGCTCGGGCCTCGTGTCGCGTGCCCTCGACGAGCATGTGCGCATCCGCGCGGCGCTGCTGACCAAATCGGAGCATGAGGCAAAGCTGAAGGCGCTGTCAGATACGTCGGGTCCCAGCGGACACCAGAAGTTACAGGTCTGCGATGTGTGTGGCGCGTACTTGTCCAGGCTGGATAATGATAGGAGATTGGCGGACCACTTTTACGGGAAGATGCATCTGGGATATGCGCAGATGAGGCGTGAAGCGGAGAAGTTACAGAAGGAGCTCAAGGGACGCCAACCGCCGCCGAGAGCGGAAGATGACAGGGATAAGGGGTATGGAGGCGGTTATGATGACGGGGGATGGGGTGGTAGAGGCGGCGGATTTGGAGGGAGGGGCGGTGGACGAGGTGGAGGTTTCAGGGGTGGGAGAGGGAGGGGAGGATTTGGCAGAGGAGGGTGGTGATTTATACGGAGCAGCGAATCGGCGAAATATCAGGCGTACACTAACTTGGGCGGCGTTGAGGAAAGGATTTCAAGAATTGCAAGCTTTGGTGGGCACAGAGGACCTTGGTAGTCATTTTAAAACGTGTATTATACGACAGTAGTGTCAACCCTGAAGTTATTGCAATGATGGATTTGATATCGAGGAACTAAATCTCAAAAGATACCCGTGTATGCATATAACTACTCTTGTCCGAGCGCTAAGCATCAACTGATTCTGCCATATACGCAGAACACGAACAGATCCAGCAAAAGTGAAGAGCGGCGCAACTTAGAAACAAGAGGTGCTACTATACGTGGGGCCCGAGGCTATAAGAAAACGGGACGGGTGGTAATAGTGACAATAAAACCAGTCAACGGCGAGAAATTGGGATAATGGGGGCCTATCGGTGACAGGAAATAGGGGGCTTGACCAAATTGGTAAACAAGCACAAATCGGCGAATGTACGGCTTTCCATTGACGTGGATTAAAGTCCTATATGTTTCATAGTCTCCGTCGTATATCGTTTGCAACGCCCGATTATCATTCAAGATCTGTATATCTATAAATTTTTATCTGCCTTCGTTGCCAGCTATCTTCGCAGCTTTGTTTCTGACTCATCGCCATCATACAAATGACACAGCAAAACAGGCATTTGGAATAACAGTATCCTCATACTAACAACGCAACAAAGTAGAAAACGGTTTCCATGACGTAGACGTATGAGAGAGAGATGAGTGGAGCTCGAATTAAAATATATGGCAACGTCAGATTTTATGATAGCTTCCACAATGTGAATAAAGGGTCTAAGACAGTCCTGTGGTGTGGATGTCGCTTTCAGTTCGGTTGTATATAAAAAGGGTCGGGGTTCTGGCGGTTGTGAGTATCTGCCAAACTCACATAAATCCAAAAAATTAAAATGCAAAAAAACCAGACGACGTGTCTGGTGAAAAATCCACCCCATGATGCCTCGAACCCGCGAATCCGAGAAGATGGTTATTTGCTTAAGGTGAGGGTGACCGCTAGACCATGTGCCCTCTTTGATTTCTTACTGCCTCGTCCTTCTCTTTATATAGGGGGTGTTCGCTAGTAGGGGGGGGGCCACCTGCACACATGGGTAAGTGGGAAACAAAGAGACAGAGAGAAGAAAAAAGCGGCTTCCAGTAGCGACGTAACTGTTTTGTTTAATAATACACTTTTCGTAAACTATCATACATACTTAAACTTTTGCCCGTTATCCAACATCCATTATATCCTCCTCTATCGGTTCCAATTTTACAATGCCTTCAACCACCCCCCTTTAATAAGCAACCAGATCATTAATCCCATCCAATTCGCGCTGGAAGTTCCTGTGCTCCGAGATATTGAACGCAAACGTGTCAACAAACTTCATCTCCCCCTTCACCTTGTCCAGTCCCTCCCTAATACTCTGTGGCTTATCCCCCAACCCTCCTGCAGTCACAACTCCATAGCAGTCAACAATCTCTCCGGACCCGCTAAACACCATTCCCTCAACACCCACAGCCTTTTTCACAAACTCCACTGCGCTCCCAGTCGCCCCAATAGCCTTGAGATGCCCGAACGCCTCACGCACCCAGTGCATAGCCCGACCACTTTTTCCGAGGGCGGCCACATGCGCGCCGCCAGGGATATAGAGAGCGTCAAAGGCAACGCTACGCTTCCCCTCCCAGTGGTGGTCAGTTTGCATCTCTCTCCCATCGCTCGCCTTGACAGCTCCTCTTCTCGGGCCAATAGTGGCAACAAACGCACCAGCAGCGGTTAGTGCCGCGTTGACAGCTTCATACTCGGCGAAGTCAAAGTCATCAGCCACCAAGATCGCCACGTTTCGGCTGACAATCGTGGACTTCAACCCCTGAGCACGGGCCGAGAACTCGAGCTGGCTAAGACCCTTAGAAGTCTGGCCGTTGTTCGGGTGACCGGCCTTGGAGGGAATCGGCGCGCCCACAGTTTCAGCAACTGCTTTGGCGAGCCCGAGAGAGATGTTACATAGGCGTTCAACCAAGCGTTTGTACACGACCGGATCATCGCAATGGTCGAGTTCGAAGGCGAGAGCCTTGCGGATATGCAGCTTCTCAATGGGTGCTAGCGAGTTGTAGAACAGCTGTGCCTGGTTGAAGTGCTCCTTGAACTTGGCAGAGTGGAGGCGGGCTTTCATGGCTGCGATCTTCTCGGGGAAGTCGACATAGCCGTCATCCCTGGCTTCGGAGGCTGGTGGGACGACAGATTTGCGGTTAGGCCAATAGTTCATATTGCCGGGCGTGGTTTTGTGGCGGAGGGCGCCGTCGCGGTGGTGGTTCATCACGGGACAGACAGGGCGGTTGATGGGGAGTTCTTGGAAGTTGACTCCGAGGCGCGAGATCTGAGTGTCAAAGTAGGAGAAGTTGCGGCCTTGGAGGAGAGGGTCATCTGAGAAGCCGATTCCCTGTGATATGTTAATAACTGTCCATACGCCCTCATGGTAGATGGCAGAGACTCACTGGGACAACATGCGCAGTACAGAAGGCAATCTGCTCAGTCTGCGTGAAAAACTCATCGACATTACGGTTGAGCTGCATCTCACCGACATAACGGACTGGGAAGATATCCTCTGGCCAGACCTTGGTGGCATCGAGAATGTCAAAGTCGAAGTCATCCTGGCGAGATTCTGGGCAGATTTGGACACCGAATTTCCAGGATGGATAAGCGCCCTTCTTGATGGCGTCCCAGAGATCACGGCGATGGAAGTCGGGATCGTTTCCTGCGAGCTTCAGAGCTTCATCCCAGACCAACGAGTGCACGCCAAGAGTTGGAGTCCAGTGGAACTTCACGAACGAGCGGATGCCTTTGGCATTGGTAAGGGTGAAGGTGTTGACACCAAAGCCTTGCATCATGCGAAACGAGCGAGGGATAGCCCTGTCGCTCATCGCCCACATGAACATGTGGGTTGCCTCAGAATGCAGGTACTGGAAATCCCAGAAATTGTTATGAGCGCTCTGGGCTTGAGGGATCTCAGAGTCGGGCTCGGCCTTGCCAGCGTGAATAACGTCTGGGAATTTTATGGCGTCTTGGATAAAGAAAACGGGAATATCATTTCCGACGAGATCCCAGTTTCCCTCCTCGGTGTAGAATTTGGTTGCAAACCCGCGCACATCGCGAACAGTATCAGCGCTGCCTCGGTTTCCAAGGACGGTCGAGAACCGGACAAAGACGGGAGTGGTACGAGATGTATCTGTGAGCACTTTGGCGTGGGTGACGTCTTCGAGGCTCTCATATAGCTTGAATGTTCCGAAGGCGCCTGAACCACGAGCGTGGACTACTCTTTCAGGAATACGTTCATGGTCAAAGTGCATAATCTGACATCAGTTAGCTAAAGATATCAAGTAGACGACGCGAGAGCCTTGAAGAGGGTAGCCTATGATATGGATATCACTCATGGAACATTCTAACATACCTTCTCTCTGGCAAAATTATCCTCCAGCAACAGAGGGCCTTGTCTGCCATTTGTTGAAGCTGAAAGCCAGTTATCAGTGTCGGGCTCTTTGACGCCGAAGTCACTTGTCAGTTTCGTCTTATCAGTCTGTTCAACGAGGTCTTTCTTGATGTCTGCAACCTTCTTGTTACCAGCCAATGCATCCTTCGCGGTATGGACCGTTTCGCGGAGCACAGATTGTAACATGATGACCACTATGCTAAATGTCGTATGATAGGAAAATATAAGTTGTATAATGAGAAATAGAATCCTTGAGAGGAAAGATTTGATAAATATGAAAAGCGGCTACGAGACAGAGGCGGCCAGCTTGAACATGGAAGCAATAGCAAAAGATTTGAGAGGAAGATAACGCATCAATCATATACTTAGCTATCATACTTTGGTTTGCAAGTCAAAATCGTAAAATGACGTTGCTATTGCCAATGAGCTGCTATGCGCTGACGTCGGCGGGACGAGATGATATGTCAGATCCATAGCTATAAACACAGCAAATCCGAAGTTAGGAATTGAAGTAACACATGTCAAACCATGTGTAGCCTCTCAAAATCGATGGAATTAATAATAAATTCTTCTCATTCCGTTCACGCTGAGAAAATACTTTACATCATAAGAATGGCCCTGCCGCCACTGTAGGTTCTTGGGGCTCATGCATACGTCCACCGAGCTGTTATAAAAATGTTCAGAGCATTAACTTGGAGCGATGAGCTATGATGACATAACCGCGTGAGCTGTCATTGAACGGAAGGACCCTGGATTGCGGCGAGGCGGTCAATGGATCTGCCGAATTGCGGATTTTCAGAATCTCCGCAATCAACGGCTCACCCCGCTCCCCGCATTATTATTGATGCGGTATATTGTGGCTTTTGTGGATAGTGAAACTCTAGTCCGTCCCCGTCTCCAACATTGTATATTAACTAGAATTCCACATTTTTCCACCTCTTAGAAGGCTGTCTTGTTGAGATACGGGCACTGAGATCAGATCCGAGCTATTCATGACCCCGTGCCAATGGAGGAATGCTGATTTGAGGAATAAGAAATAAGCCTCAAAAAAACCCACCTGGCCGTTTACTACAGGCTCCTCCACAAATTAATCCATTCAATTCGGAAAGAATTGTCGGTCTCCCGGGTGCCGCTATGGGAACAACTCTTTGATACGCTGGCCAATCAATTATATTGATTCAAAGCTTTAGCTAAGATATATGCAAAGCTTGTCCAATTCTGGCCCAAAGCTTGTGCCTAGATTTCCAGCCGGTCAACCGTGAAAGGAAGAAGACTGTAATGTATAAATGAGAGTAAAGTTCCGTTTAATTCGCTGTCTTCGTTCTGTTCTTCATCACATCGCAGCAGTTTTCTCTCTCTTTCGCATTCTCAAACTCTGTTCATCATGAAGTATTCCATCTTCGCTGTTGTCCCCCTTGCACTGGGAGCCAGCGCTGCTACTCCCTGTACTGTCACCGAATTTGCATCGATTTCTTCTGCTGTTGCGTCATGTACAGACATTGTATTGAAGAACATTGTAGCTCCGTCCGCAAGCGCGATTGATCTCTCCAAGTTGAAGACTGGCGCCAAAGTCACCTTCGCTGGCAAAACTGTACGTATATAACAAACCTGAAGCGTCCGTTATACAGACTCTAACCATTGGCCCATTAGACTTTCGAGAAAACCCCAGACAGTAAATTTGACCCCATTATCATTGGGGGCACCAAAGTTACCATCACCGGAGCACCAGGACATGTCATTGATGGAAACGGACAAGTTTACTGGGATGGCCTGGGATCGAATGGAGGTGTTCCAAAGTAAGCTGTGATACCCTCATCTCCAGAATATCAACTAATCCAACAGGCCCAACCACTTCGTCGTGGTCAAGAACACAGTTGACTCTGTCATCTCCAACCTAAACATCAGGAACTGGCCTGTTCACTGCTTCACCATCTCCGGCGGCAGCGGCCTCACCCTTCACAACATCAATCTGGACAACACTGCCGGAAACGCGCCTAACTCCGTCAGCAACGGTCTGGCTGCCGCCCACAACTCGGACGGCTTCGACATATCCTCCACCAGCGGCCTGACGCTCAAAAACTCGGTCGTCAACAACCAGGATGACTGCGTCGCTGTGACAAGCGGCTCTAACATCCTCGTTACAGGCATGACCTGCATTGGCGGCCACGGACTGAGCATCGGTTCCATTGGAGGCAAGAGCAACAACGTCGTCGACGGTGTTACGTTCTCCAACTCAGTTATCTCCAACAGCGAGAACGGATGCCGCATCAAGACCAACTCCGGCACCAACGGCACTGTAAGCCCCCCAAACATTATATATACCCCCTAGTCTTATAGATATTAACATATCAATAGGTCAAGAACGTTACCTACAGCGGCATCACGCTCAGGAACATCGACAGGTACGGCATTGACGTGCAGCAGGACTATCTCAACGGTGGCCCAACTGGTATTCCCACTAACGGCGTCGATATCTCTGGCATCACCTTCAAGAACGTTAGGGGCACTGTTGCCTCCGGCGCATACAACTACTACATCCTCTGTGGAGATGGTAGCTGCTCGAATTTCACGTTCTCCGGCACCAGAGTCACTGGCGGCAAGTCGAGCTGCAACTTCCCATCGTCGAAATGCACGTCTTAAGCGGGGATTGGGCTTGGATATAGCGAATTCTTGTACTCATTTTGATTAAATATTGGATGCCTAGAAGTAGAGTCTAAAAAAACTATTCTATCTGCTTAAATTGCCAGTGTCATTCCTAAGCCACAGGCAATCCCTTTCAGACATTTGGGCCGCACGAGTATTGGTAGATAATTATGACTTTAGAGTGCCTCATATTGTGTATTATTCAAACTAAATTCTCCCTCCTTTTCATATGGGAAAAACAACAGCACCGATCAAGGTAAGGTCAGCTGGTGCCACACGTATCAAGTGCAGACCACCAGTCGACACCTTTTGTACCAGTTTATCTATTCTTCTATCACTACCCGTGTCTCGTTTATCATGCAAAATTCATAATTTTCCAGTTCACCTAAGCGCCGCCAACAGAGGTCCAAATACCCGGCGATCAAGCCAAGTACGTGTAATTACCCTCATCTCTCTCAATATAATCCTTCTCAATAAGTCTGCTTGCGTTAGTCTCTTAGTCAAGCCACAGAACAAAATTCGACTTACTTCTCAATGTTCTTTTTAATCTCCCCCACCTCAACAGCGCCCCTCATCTTCGTCTGTTCAATCACCTCCGCCACAAGCGATTGATGCGGCAACACCTTCCGGCTCTTCATGATCCGCACAATTGCCGCCTGCGTCTCATACTGCCTATCTAGCGCCACGCGCTCGTGGGTCTCCTTGTTCTCTGCTGTCGTCTCCTTGAGCTGGATCTGGTTGATCTTGATCCTAAACTTCGGGTCTGTGAACGCCAAGTTGACGGTAAATGTGTCTGTCTTCGCCACTTCTCGGCCCTTGGGATGCTTCGTTAGGATCCGCACTTTGCCGCAGGCGAGAGACTGCATGGTGCGCGTGAGTTCGGCATCAACGAGGCCCGTGCTAGCTTGGAGGGCGGTGTATGAGAGCGCCTCATCGTCGGCAAGGTCGTTGAAGAGGACGAGGATGACGGCCTGGAAGCCGGACACTTGCAGCTCCTTGACGCCTTTCTTGAAGTGACCTTTCACTATACTGTGCGCCAAGGAGTGCTTCCACGTTAGCCTGCGCCCGGTATGCTTGTTCTTGTAGTGGCGATCGAATTTCTCGATGTGGCGTGCGACTTCGGCGGGGAGATTAATGGCAATATCTGGGTAGGTTGGCCAAGCTGCGGCGGAGAGGACGCTGACTTGCAAGTCCATGGTTGTCTTGCTGGTGTTGCTCAAGGATTGCTTGTACGATATCATCTCATCCCGCGACAGCTCTTGGTCTTTGAACATCTGCTCTAAATTATGGGTAAAATTTGAGCCACATTCGCTTTTTAGTTTTGTGAGCATGTTCCGCTCGGCATCTTGGCTCGCGCTCCTCGCCATTAATAGACGACGGGCCAGGTCTTTCTTATAGAATGCCTCAAACACGTCTTTGCCTTCAATGAATCGAAAGAGCTCAAGGCCTTGTTCCAACTGCCGGTCAAGCTCGGCATCTTCATCGCCAGTGCTTGCCAAGCCCTGCTTTTCAGCATCTATCCGGTCCAATTCGTCTGACGCCAAGGAGCGAGGAACAGCCTTAAGACCACCACGTAGGAGTAAGTCGATATATTTCGCGATGACCTCGCCGACTTTCGAGTTCCCCGTTCCCCAAACCGTTGCGCTTTTCCGGTCATTGATAAACGTGCTGTAAGCCTCTCGCATGGAAAACTTGAAGATCTCGTCCTTGTTGAACGCGTCTCGGGTGATGAGGTCCAGTGATCTCTTCAGTTCGAGTAGACGAACCACCATATCATCTCCTTTTCCTTGATCACTGACAATAGTAGCACCTGCCTTCTTTATATATTCTTCCCATGGTGTCTTCAGCTTATCTTGGATCTCGGAGCCCTTCAATAGTCCGTATAACGACTTTAATGACTCGATATCGCGAGCTTCTAGTAACGAACCCACTGCGTGAACATCAAGTAGGAACTCGGAGCGGTCTCTGATTAAGATATCTTGCGCATCTGATAGCAACTCTCGTTTCGTTCCACTATCCAAGTTGTGTATATCGCACCGCGCTCCTTCTTTTTCTAGTAACTTGACACACTGAGATATCATATTTTTTAGATCAGCGTCGATCAGCGCAAATTCCGAGAAAAACTGCCGCGAATATTCGAGAAACTTCGGCTCAAACCGTGCTTTATAAAGATTCGTAATAAGCAACATCATTATGATATCCTTGAACAAAGTAGATTTGAACCACCGGGCCGAGTCTTGCCCTCGGTGCTTTCTATCATTATCAATCATTTTGTTCGTTGCGTCGTAGACCTGCCCGTCAATAGCAGGGTTCTCCAGTATCACGGATCGGAATTGCTGGATCGACATGTCGTTTAGTTGCGGATATTCCTTAGAATTGAGCAGAAATGAGCGGTCGAGGAATCCAAAAACGGCTCGTATACGCATCTGTTGCACATGTTAGTCTGGGCTATCAACAAGGACATGTAAGAGTCACAAACAGCCTTTGCATTCCAATCCTTCCACGCATCCAACAGCGCCTCGAGAAATTGCAGCGGGTCATTGCCGTTATCTGCCTTCTGGAGGCTTCCCAGGACACTGGATGCAAGATAATCGCTAGTTCGGTGGCGAAGCTCCTTATATAGACCTTCAGCTTGGTTGTTCCTGCATATATCTTCCACATCACGATATAAACGTTCCAGCGGCTGTCGTGGTTGCTGAGCCTTCAGTATCGCCGTCACAGCGTCCAGGACTTGGACCTGAACCTTTCCATAATGCTCGCGAAGGTCCGCAACCCTGCTCGGTCTCAGATTCTTGACCACCAGTTTCCTGACTCCTGATTGCGGCTGGAATCCAACAGTTCGACGGAAATCAACATTGGAGGGAGCCACGAGGCCAATTGTTTCCGACATCTTTCCTTTCGGATGCCCGGCAATTGTCGACTCGATCGTCCTCTGTCGTTTGGCCTCTGACCGTGAGCCTGGTTTATCTCCGCCTGGCATGGATGCAGCCGTAGCTACTCCGGTTCCGAGAGTGTCCGCGATTCTTCGTTTTCCTGGTACAGGGCGATCGGAAGTACTGTCGGTAGAGTTGCCCTCGGAAGGACGCATCTACCCTACACCAGGTTGTCCTTGGGAGGTGTGACGTTCGGAGGGGACTATGTCGCGGGTATTGCCGTTGTTGGCGCTCAAGGACAGCGTATCTATGTAGCAAATGTTTGTGAAGTTGAGATTAGGAAGATGTTCAACCGAAAGTAATATGAATGTGTTGCCAGAAGCAGTTGATGGACACCACCTTTGGATGAGCTCTAATGTGGAGACAAGGCTAGCCAGGCGATAACGATAAGTTAACCCCGACACCACCATTTCAGCCTCAGTTACTACCAGGGGTCTTACAATCACAGTGCTAGCCGGGAGCCAGACCAGAGTTCGGAGTCAGGCTTGTTTCCACACTCTACATATAAATTGTGTTGCATCACGCTTGAAAATAGTGTTCTTTATTTTACATCCGTCTAATGTGCCTTTCACCGAAAAGCTTCAATATTCCTTCCTGCGATCCATTTCCAAAAAAATATTTGACTCCTCGTAACGTGTTATGTGAAGGATTTAAAAGATTCATGAAGTGGCTTCATTTCGTCGTGACCCTTCTCGGCTGTCAGCAGTGTACAAAAAGATGGCGGAGACTCGCTGCTTCCATATACGGGGTGAGTTCACTTACATCAAGAAAGCCGCTCATCGAAATGAGGAGCATATACGCATCGGATAGTTCGTCGACAACTTCATCGAGCTCATTGTTCACCGCAGCGCCAATACGAGCAGACCGTTTGAAAACCGACAGCATCCAAAGTCGATTCTCGGAGACGAATTTCTTTGCCTGTGCCAGAGTTTGCTCATTTTGAGGCCCACGGCTCACCACACAGCAATTGATCACGCGCATCAATGCAAGGAGTAATCCATAATGCTTCTTAATCGCGTCAATGTCGGCAATGTCTAGATAAGTTAGGATATAGCCTTTAGTCAATGGAAGTCATGACGTACCAAGTCCAATATCTGGATCAGTAGAGAATACGCCAGAGTCTCTGATTATCTGGAAGAGTCCAGCACCAAGGACTGCGGTGGCTCCTGACCTAGTTTGAGAGACCTGAACGAGCAAAGCAAGCTTCGCATTCACATATGACAAATACATGTCAATTTCTGCGTGGGTTAGCTTTGTTGTTTGTGCTTTTGGGGGTACGTCTTACCATCAGTCCGAAGATCCTGCATCTCATCCAGTATATTTTGTAGAGAATCCACCAGAAGGCCTATAAAATTGATGCGAGACAAGGTGGTATTGATGTAGCTTGAATCTTCTTTTCTTGCCAACTCGACAATTTGCCCAAGTAGCAATAGGGCAGAAATTCTGCAAGTATTCTCACCAGCATATGCATCATCACAGATTATAGCTACCAGAGATTCACCCGAACTCTTGATAGTCTGAGTAATATATTGGCGGCCTGTGGTCAGGCCTCGCGGCATATCTGACATGCCAACCAGATATTTGTAGCATATCGTGTAAAGTGTTTCTCGGAAATGGCTGTCGCTAATCGGCGATTGGATGGCTTTGAGAGACACACTGAATAGCTGGCTCAACCTCTCATTTGCTAGAGAGGCTACGTCGTCATTCCGGAATGGCTCTGACGTGAAGTCGATATTGAAGAGGAGGAATTTTGCAAGGGTCGCAAGTTTTTGTGACGCTTCAATATTAACGCTACTATGCCTCTCCAATTTTGACTGGACAACAAGGACTGCTTCGAGTATTGCCCTCAGCTTGTTTGTGTCCTCGAGATCGCCGACTGTTACTGTCATCAACACGACTTGAGTCCAACCCTCCAATGTCTCCAGCCAAGTTGCGTGCAGGCGACTTATGTTGCTCTGGGAAGCCAGATACCGCAACAGGTTAAGTGCTTCGGCTTCAAAAATGGCCTCGTCTTCGGGTTTCTGTAAATAGCCCGCAACTTTCATCTCGCTCTGCCTCAGCACCAAGAGTGCCTCAACCCTCTTAACATCATAAACGTGCGGTTCCCCGGGGTTGCCCGTGAGGCAGACGCTGAAATTAAGATCCTTGAAGTAGGGGGAAATTGGAAAAGTTTCGGCAGCCGGATCCACCACCATGAAATCGAACATGTCAAATATCGTATAGTTTTGGATTTCAGTTCCATCTTCGATGGTAGTTCTCCCAAGAAGCGTGTTCGATATCTGCTGCCTTACGGAAGTCGAGCCATCTTTAGATACTCGGCGAAGTTCTGATGCGACGTATTGAAACAGCATGGACCTTTGGCTCAAATAATCGTTGATATCGTTTTGCGACTCGATAACTCCGAAGTAGGTCTCGTTCGGTAAACCTAGGCCAGATATAGTTTGCGGGCCAATGATGACTTCGCTGGTCCATAGGTGAGTAAAAAAGTTGTGGCTTCGAAGCTCCACCATCACCACTTGTGAGGATATGGGCGATCTCCACAAGGTTCGCATAACCTGTAGCGCCTTGCTCTTGAGGCGCGTAAGCCATGGGGCTATAACATTTTGCTCTGTTTGAACAGGGCACTGAATGGCCAGTTTCATTATAGAATGGAATAGAGATGCATCGCGGGCAAACGGGCTATCAGGAAGAACCTCGAGGCTTTCCGATTCGCATCTAAAACCCAAGAGCAAGTGCGCAATCGAGGGTCTGTTAGGCATAGCTTGAAGGCAAGCGTTCACGAAATCAAGTATGTGAATCTTGATATTATATGCCGGCGACTCAGATGCTTCTTCCATGTCGATGTTAGATTCGAATTCGCTGATGAGAGACCTGGCAATTCGCTCTGAATCGTTCCCCATCTCAAGTGCAGCAATTGCTTTGTTTCTGTCTCGACGTCCACCAATATTTGAAACGGGAGGAGATATCAGCTTAGGAGAAGTAGAAAATCTTTGAAGCAGTTTTAACGACGCGACGGCGAGTTCCGAATGCCCAGAGCCGCAATAGAGGCCGAGATCAACAATGACAGAAAGATGGCTTAATACTCCATCGTCGAATGACGCGTAGGCAGCATTAGCAACAGGAGACCGAGTATGCGTAGCTTGCTGTCTGTTTAACGGTCTTATAATATCCAAGTACGTTGGTTGCAGGTCCATTATAAGAGTTATCACATGGATTGCAGCAAGGATGCTCAGCACCAAGGGTGATGATGGGGCGGCATTCCCCACGGCGGAGATTTCTTCGTGGACAGATTGGAACAGCGCATCCATAACTTTCTCATTGAACATCCATTCCATAGTCCTCGAGAACGGATGGAGGCGAACGTATGTATCCAGATCCGAGGCCCTGATAGCACTGTCGACAGACACATTCGATTGATTAGCGAAGACAACAAGGTCCTCGTTGAAAGTGCTCAGACATGTCGATATGAAGTCAAGGCACGTCAGCGACAAGAGTCTCTGTTGAGGCTGGCTAATGATCTCCGCCGTTCGGGATTTGCGCACAAAAATCTGCCCCACAACGAAATCGATATAAGTATCAACGCCAGGCATCCGTTTCGATGAACCAAGATTTTCCGGGAAAGGGAGATCGTCATTCAATCCCATGGATGGTTCCGCGGGTGTTAGAAGGGCGGTAAGGAACTGAATGAAGGAACTTGGTTCTTCGAACCCAGTACTAATCTCTTCAAAAATCCCACTAGTGATCGATGCCGACGTTGACATTGTTAGTGATACTTTGGGCATCGTTGAGTGTCCGCCAGAAATCCACTGATCCAGGGACATCCAAGTGATATCGTTGATCTCCTTAGATTTTTGGCTGAGCAGCGACCGTAGGGTAGTAAAAGCGCACGCTCGAAGACGAGATTCTATGCGGCTGCTTGCCAGTTCGTAAAGTAATCCTGTCAGGTGAAATGACGGGTGCTTAAGAATGAAAGTCCTCGCCTCTTCACTTCCAGTGCATAGACGAGTGATCAGGCGTAAGTAACTCTCCAGCATAAGTGTCTCCTCCGGTTCGGACTCAACCTCATTAGCGCCAGGTTTTCCGGCACGGTACGATGTAGACTGGTGGGGGGCAGGCTGGTTGCGTAGTTTTGAGGTATAGTGTGTGAGATCAGTGAATATTTGGCTCCACGTAAGAGATTGGCTGCGCCGTAATTTACCAGACGCAGTTGTACTTTCTTCGAGTAGGAATCTATGCGAAGCAGTCGCACACTCGTCATCTTCAGATATTGCCTGAAGCATTTCACAAAACGCGCTCAACAGTGGCGTCGAAGCTCTACACGATGCCCACTGCAGGAAGCCAGCGAGGTTGCTGTCTGGATCCGACCAAAACGCCAAAGCGGCATCAGGCCGTTGTTCAAAGGCATATGAAATAATAACCAGGAACCGTTCGAGATCAAGGTCATGCTCGTAGGTAAGGCTCAACTGCCTCTGTTCTTGCTCTTCCGTCCTCAACTTGCGCAAAGGGTCGGGCATATTAGTGATAAATGCGTCTATAAAGGCCTCCAACTGCTCCTTCAATGCCAGCTGAAAAAACTCTGAAAACGGCACTGAGTCTTGAAGCATTGGAGGAACTTTATTTTGCAGCCAGCGCCGCAAGCCCTGTCGTGCAGGGTCCTGCCAGTCACCAGATTTGACATCGGCACCAAGAGACAAAAGGAACTCGAATGCTCCATCTTTAAGAAACCCTGCAAATTGTTCTGATCTTGTCCGTTTCTCTGAACATGATTAGCACAAATTCGGTAGCCATTCAGGGGGTTTCCAGGCTTACCGTCATCCAGGTTGACCCCCACGGCTGGAGAGTTGCCTTGATTGTCGAGATACCATCCACTATACTCTCCCAACCAGAGGACAGAAACTCCAGCGTAAACATATTGTAACGTCCAATTGTTCTTATCTTTATTTTCAAGAATCATCCGATTCAGACTGCGAGCCTGCTGGAGCGAGCCAGAACCCTCGGGCGATCCAAAAGTGGATATGAAAGCAGCCGTTGCTGGGAAGTAGTGAACTGCCATAATTTGTTAGATTTAATCAAACGAAAAGATGGTCATATTCTATCATACCTAGGAGGTTGTCAAATCTGTCGGTTTGCCTAAGCACACCAAGAACAGTCTCAAAATTCTCCACTGAAGAGTATCTTGCTTTCACGAGCCAATGAACTATAGAGCCCAAAGATTCGTGCTGTTGTATAAGACTCACTCTCTGGTACTCAATTGTCTCAGAGAACTCATCCGTTTGGCCCTGGTATAGAACATTGGCGCTGTTTACTCTGTCGGCAAGATCCTGCAGCCATGTCTTGATGTCTGCCATGCTCTGCAAGCACTTCTTGACAAAGCTAGGCCCATTTTCTGCTTTATTATCCGTTTGAAGTACAAGCCCAACAGCTGTCTGAAAAGTACTCTTGATATTCTCTTGGACTTCAAGCTCGTCTGAATTTGAATCGGAATCTGAATCGGTATTTGCTGATGACAATTGTAGAACGAGTCGAAAGCAATCCAAAAGGTACTTCCGGGTTTGGTGAAATCTGATTATAGAGCATTCTAAGACGGAACGGCCTAGCACGTCCGCGTCCTCCTGCGATGCAAAGAATATTCGCGCAGCGTCGAGTTCGTCCAGGTTGACAGCATCTGCAAGCATCAACGCCCCTTGCTTAAAGTCATCGTTGATGGAGTATTCTTCGTCTTGTATCTGGATTCTTCCTATGAGCACCGAGTTAGATCTGCATGGCTTGAACCGCAACCGCAGCGGGAATATCTGTGCATACCAGAATCCAAGCTCTTTCTGCTCTGTTCATTGCGCGGAGCTTTATCGAGGAGCCTTCGAAATTCGTCGAGCCTAGTTTCCAATTGAACCCACAGTCGGTCGATGTTGGGAAGGCGTTGCTCTGCCTGAGCTACCAGATCCCTGTGAAGAAGCTCCAGCCCTTCAAGATCAGTAAGCTCCGCCATTGCATGCGATACTCCGATTGCAAGTTGATTATATGGCGCCCAAGCACATAAAAGTAGTCCAGCCGCCCTGAGATGCGAATGAAATCATTTGGTGCCACAGAAATGGTGGTTGGTTGGCTGGTAGAGTAGAGGCACCCTGTCAAGTTGGAGAATCTGGCAGAAATCGGTGTACGCGACGTTGATACTGTTTATCGCGCCAAGCCGATTTTGCGGGGGTAAGCTTTTGGGAGCGACAGCCTCGCGGACTAGCCTTCAAAACATACAGCAAGCTCCACAAACAAATGCGCTGACTGATGACCTTGTCCCCTTCAGTCCCCTAAACTTTCCACCCTTTACCTGTGAACAATTTGATCAATTCTTGCCAATAAAGCACCTCAATGAAGGCCTGGCAGTGTTGATGCCAACAGTCTCTCTCGATGGGGTAGCAACGTCCACTTTTCAAACAATGTTACAATCACCGTTGAAGTCACAAAAGATCCGCTGCAAAGATGGTGTCAGGCAATGGGGAGATCAGGATCGATGAGGCTCTGCATACTATGAATGCTGGTGGTGTGAAGAATCGAACAGACGGTGTCACAGGTACGTCGGTTTTTGTGTCTAATTATGTACTATACTGACTATCCAGACCTCATAACGATTTTTAAGCACAATCGACAAACATCCTCTCTGTATGGAACACATCAACTCTGGTGCCTATAGTTTCAAGGGCTAATACATGCTATAGGGAAGTCCTGAAAGATGGAGCCTACCACACGATCTATGAAGCGCTATTCAAAGTTGCCACTGAAGAGAAGCGATTGTACCTATCAGCCAAGAATGACAAGGCTCGAACAAAGGCAGAGAAAACACTTTCGAGTTGCTCTGAAGCTCTACGAATTACCATAAAATCAGGGGCTGAGAAACTGAAGCCTAGGACGGTTAGAGCAGTTATCGAGCACATTACCCAGCTTCTCCCTGTTGCATCGGGAGAATATTGCCTCGCCTTTAGCCAACAGTACCTCAAAGTCTTGAACATACTGTTGGGACACGAGGCCCATGTTGAGTTACTTGATCAGGATGATTGGCTTGCGACAGTTGAATTTTGCCTCGACGGTATTGAGCAATATGAGAGCAGCACTAGAGCAGCATCCGTACCTCATGGAAACTCGATTACTGTCCCATTGTCGACCGGATCTTCAGTTTACACATCAAGATCGAGGTCATCAGTTAAGTCCGTGTCGGGTGAGGCACATCTTTCCTCTATCAAAAAGCGAAACTCCGAAGAGCTCATGGAATGTCTGTTGTCTCTCGTTTCTGCCCCCAATTCCGCAGTTTCTGAGAGAACCGAGCACATTTTAAAGGCTATTGTACACTTTTTAAATTCTCAGGGCAATGTCGTGAGCTCCTTTCATCAGATTGCATTTGCCGCCCTCAATGTTGTGCTCTCTGTCACGAGTGCCGATGAACTTTCTCTGGCAGAGTCAGTGGTTTGTTCAGTCGTACCCTGTATCAGCCGTTTGTGGTCTTCTAAGACAGCAGCAAATGATGAAATGCTTAATACAGCAAAGGACGAAATGGCAATAACGATATTGTTGCTTCGACTGCATCTAGAAAGGCTAGTTTCCGATCCCCTACGTGATGATGACCTGGGGAATATATTGAAAGACTTGCGAGACAGTTTAGCCAATGACTACGAAAAGCGTGCTGAAAGAGACCAGCTTCAGCTGGATGATATGGATTTTTCAATTGATCCAAGTGAAAATCGAATTTCCAGCTCGTTAAGTTGTGGATATCTGCGCCTCAGACAGCAAGCACCCCGTGCCGAAAGGAAATGGGCAGTGGTTCAAGTCCTCGCCATATTAGATAATCTTCTCCATGGGGCACCCTTAAGATCGAACCTCGTAGCTACTGACGATAATGAGAGTCCTGAAGGTGTCAGTCACCCAAGAAAACGGCGGCGTATCACTGAGCGTTTTGATGCTCTCGCCGACGAAATAAGGCTCGGCGACTCTGGCGTACAGCTGGTGGCCCTTCAGACTCTATTCTTTGCTCTACCACCCAGTCAAGTCTCTCAGCATATCTTGGCAGACATTCTTCCTACATTGGCATCGTTGGTTCTCGATAGAAACATTAATATTAGCTGCTGGGCAATATTATGCATATCCAGGTAAGCTTGTTTCTTTTGGGCCTGGTAACATTTCTGACGGTCCCTAGTTGTGCCCACCAAAGCGCTACAGAATCTAGCACTGGTGGCTTCAGCTGGAAACAGCTATGGCACACAGTCAGTAGATTGGTCACAAGCCGAGCCCTGTGTCGACCAGCGTGCTACTTATTGCATACTATTCTTGCAAAGAAACTTGTCGAATACAACGACGTAGTTGAATGGGCCACATCTATGCTGACAATGACTGAAATAAGTGCACCTGCATCAATCTGCGATTCGAGCTTAGCCTTAATGGCCCATTTGGTCCACATGAGAAATACGGAGGGGTCAGGAGGAAGTGTAAACCCAAGCCAGAATGTTGTGCGATGGTTGTTCTCGAAGTGGAATCCAGGTACAGTTTGATCTATTAAATCTGCTATGACTTACTAAATAATTACAGCTGAAAAGGCTTTCGCGACTCGTTCGTCCATTGACATATACCCTGTCGATGTTTCCAACCTTCTCAGAACTATCTTTGATCTTCCTGGGCTCGCATTGTTTGCGAATGGTAACCAGCCCGGCGGAGCGATTAGCCAAGCTTGGCTTCGTCACCGAGGAAATGAGAAGACCTTACGATTCTTGTTACTTTTAGATGACGAACCTAAGACCTCAACGGAATGCCCCAGATGCGCACCGACATCCCGACTTTACCAATGTGCACAGTTTAGTGATGCCCAGCTGCATGGTAATCCCATGAAGCGGCTTGTCTCTGACTTGCTCCTACCCAAGTTAGATGCGTTAGCTCAAGGATGGGAACAGCAAGAGGCTTCAGAAGCGATCGAGATTTCGTCGGATTCTATGCACTCTACTGTGTCTGCGTGCATTACCACATGCCTCATATTACCAATACTCGAAAATGCAGGTTCATCATCCATGCTTGATGATATCAAGCGCATCCTCGAGCGTCTCGAAACTATCATCACATCTGTAAATTCCCAGGTAGGTGTTAACAGGGTGGTTGTCGAAGCCATGCTGCAGGCCATCCGGCCGTATCTTCCTGCCATTAGCTCCGAAGAGATTTATCACATATACAAGACACTCCCACGGCTAGGAAACTTCATTGTATCATTTGCAGAAATATTTAAACTTTACAAGTTTCAGAAGGAAGATGGTTTTGCCACCGATGATATGGACCTGGATGATGTCTTTGACACCCAACAAAGCTGGACAAGATCTGAGAGATCCCAGAACGTCATTGAGCGTCGGGAAATGGCAATGAAACTTAGCCCAGCAACGTTTTTCAACAATACCTCCACGAAACTAATACTTGTTGCCAGTTTCTTTGAATGCGAAACAGAAACGCTCTACGTCCCAACAAATTTCATGGATTACCTTCTCAACCTACCACCAATGGATATTGTGTCTTGTACCGAGCTTATTTCCGAAATTCTACACAGCGATTTGTCGTTGACCTCGGACGATGCTTTGAGAATAGTACAATGCGCGGGTGGCCTTTTATCCTCGCAATATTCATGTTGCGAAGTCACACTTAGACTTTGTATCGATACTATGGAGGGACTACTTCCATCATGGGCAAACTCTGAGAGCGGAGACTTGGGGGAAATGGTGCAACAGCTTTATGGATGGCTCGTCGGCACTGTAATTTCGAAACGAAGAACTTCCCCCTATGTTCAAATTTGCTTCTCCAAACTTCTATTTCAACTTATCAGAATCCAGCCAACATATGGGGACGATCAATCTCTGCCTTCCGTAAGGTCAAGTCTTTTTGATATCCTTCAGAAAGCTCCCATTCTTGTCAAGTTTAACTTGGCCCAAAATATTCCGGATATTTTTGGCTTATTCGTTTTGAAAAACCACCTGCGAATACTCAATGATCTGTTGGACAGCTTGCCTACGGATTTGGACTGGTGTGAGGGAAATGCTTTCCGTCTCTATATTCTCAGCAGGTTAGCATCACGTTGGCCGACACTGCTTCGAATATGCGCCTACTATATTCTTGAGGTGTCCGGAAGAGTGCCTGCCTCTATCCCATACGCCAAGAGGTGTCTATTGGAAGTTTCCGAGACGCTGGGGCTCAGCAGTGCCAGAGATTTATTTCAGCTGTTTAACTCCCAGCTCCTTTTTACCTGGCTTGATACAGAACCGTTTGAAAGTTTGCCGCATAGTATCTTCGGGTACAATACCCTTCACGATCTTCTCCGGGATAGCCAAGAAGAAATATCGGCACTCATGGTCATGAGAGACCGAGACGACGAAGTAAAAAGTCTAGCAGAATTGCTCGAGGAGCCAGTCGAACAAATCTTGACGAAATCTTTTACGAAGGTTATTGCGTACAGCGTTGCTCACGATATAAGCATTCCTCCTTCCGACACGTCAGGAAAATATATTACGGGAGAAGCACGAGTACGAAAGCAGCTTGGAAAAAATGTCTTTCTTGATCTCATGAAAACGCATTTTGCAGACATCATCAGTTTACTGTTCAAATTAATTGACCATGAACAAGACCTTGAGAAATCCTTTATGAAAGAAGGCGCACTCCAAGTACCAGCCAGCATATTAACCGAGATAAAGGGGTTCAGCTCGTCGGGTATAACGTTGCCCCCCAGCCAGCAGCCAACATTCAAGGCCAAATACTTGACAAGAGAAATCAATCATGTCTGTGGGAGAACTCCCTACGAGCCCTCTGATATTTTTACGCCAGTCATGGTCGCGTTCGTAGCAAGAAAGCTTCTGGACACCATGAATCCGGCACTTGGCTCTCTCCACGCATGCTCAGTACTTCGGAGGCTTCGTGTCCTTATTGGACTTGCGGGTCCGAATGCCGTCAGCGGTTATCCCCTCGAGATGATATTGCATAACCTCAGGCCTCTATTAGCAGATGTTGAGTGTGCTGATGATGCTATTGGAATAGCTCAGTATCTTTTCACACGCGGATCTGAATATTTGAGCACCGTGCCCTCATTTATCATAACCATCGCACTGTCAATGTTTGGGACTTTGAAGGTATTCTTAAGTTCGAGCCCTTCCAGCACTACACAAGAAAGCCAATATAGAGAAACTCTTTCGAAAGCGGAGTCGTTCCACTCATGGCTTGGCATATATCTGAAAAATTACAAGGCTATTGGTTTGGACCGCAGGGACCAAGACGCGTTTCGAGCCATGGTGGAATCTGCCCATGGATTAAGTGCCTCCGATTCGACCGATATGGGCACTACGGGTGGAGATTTGCTTATGGACATCCTGAGAGATAAGCGCTCTCGTAGAAATCTTTTGAGCAAGTCGACTTGCGAGGTTGTATTTTCTCTTCTATACAGCGAGTTTGCAGCGCCAGCGTCGTTCAGGACAGATCACCTTGGTCAGGACGACCGCGCAGTAAGATATGCCCCTACTGTGTGGGAGCTTTGCAAGACTGGGTCCACGAGCAGTTCGTTTCTCACCTGGGCTGGTAGAGTGTTTGGCAGAGCATTCGCTGCCACAGGGCATATCGAGTTGTCATTATTAAAGGAGACAGATTTACACGAGATACTTGATCCCGTTGAAATAGATGCATCCAACAAGCCGTCATCTAGGAGTTCAATCTTGGGACTGGTCAAGAACTTGACAGTCGTAGATCATGGAAGTGTCACAGGAGTGGCCGAGGCTGCTCTTCGAATTATCGTCAGCGGCATTACTAGTCAGCCGAACAACGCTGACAACACAGCATGCTCAATACCATTATCGGCATCTCTAATTCAATGCTCGACTTGGTCGCCATATAATGTCTCTCCAGCCGATATGCTCGCGTTTCAAACTCCAGCTCCAAAGGATCCATTTTCTCCTGGGTATATTGAAGACCCTGCATGCATACGGGACCTCTCTATCTTTCTCGTTCAATCTGTACCATCCGATTCTGTCATTCATCCAATCCAACAACTCCTGGTTGATGCCGCTGGGTTTGCAGAGAAATGTTTCCCTTTCATTCTTCACATCGTATTATCCCAACAATTAGACGAATCTCAGAATACGAAGCGTCTTCTGTCGACCGCTCTTCGCTCGTGGTTTGGCAATGGCAAGGATATCGTCAAGGAGCGACTCAAACTTCTGATCAATGCAATATTATACTTGAGAACACAAGCTCTCCCTCGAGAAACTTCAATAGCAGATCGCTCTCAGTGGCTTGATATCGACTATCGCCAAGCATCTCAGGCAGCCGTGAACTGCGGCATGCTCAAAACGGCGTTGTTGTTCACGGAATTATCATCGTCTGAGTTGGTCAAGGCGTCACGTCGATCCTCCTCAGTGAAGCAGCCTGACTCGGAAATATTATTTTCAATATTCAAGAACCTTGACGATCCCGACATATTTTACGGGCTGCAACGTACTGCCACTTTAGAAACAATATCAGCTCGTATGGAGTATGAAAAGGATGGCCTTAAGACCTTAATGTTTCGAGGGGCAGAGTACGACACTCAAATGCGGAAAGGAGGGCTGGCATCTACTTCAGAGGCTCAGAGCTTGGTCGGTGCCCTCAGTATGTTGGATTTAGATGGACTATCGCATTCATTACTCCAGTCTCAACAAACGGCTGTTGTTATGAATGAGCCTGCAATACAGAATATGTTTCGAACTGCTCGCAAACTAGAGCAATGGGATCTCCCCATTCCAGATTCCTACGATGGCGGTTCTATTACGATATACAAGACATTTCAAGCATTAAACAATGCTGTTGATCGTGTATCGGCGCATGTTGCTGTCGACACGGGGATTAAGTCTGCCATGTCAAGTTTGATTCAGGTTCAAGGAGATGCTGCGTCGATACATACATCCCTCCAAGCGCTGTCTATTTTTACAGAAATGGATGAAGTGCTAAGCTCATCCAACTCCGAACAGTTTGAAGAGATGCTCGAAAGGTTTGAAAGCCGATCTAGGTGGATGAAGACTGGAAAGTAAGCTTTGTGGGAACCCCACAAACGTTGGTTCTCTGTAATTCTAACCAGATATAGGTTCGAAGATGTAAGCCAAATAATTTCCAGCAGACAAACCCTTTTAAGCTGCGTAAATCAGCAGTCATCACTACGGAAGATGATCAATGTCAGCGCCTCCGATACGCGTCTTGTTGAGGCCCGGTCGTCATTATTATCATCGAGTATTCACAGATCCCACGGTGCCCTCCAGGAGTCACTCACCTCAGCAACTTATTTGAATAGTATAACTGGGTCTTGCCGAGACCTCGGATTAAACATTGAAGCTGCCGCATATTTTGAAGTTGCAAATGCAATGTGGGACCAAGGAGAGATGGCCTCGTCAATTGGTATGCTGCAGGAACTCGAGCAGCTCTCAAATTTGAAAGAACAAACGATTCCTATCGGAAAATCAAAGATTCTCGCCAAAATCGCATCTCAGGTGTCCATGGCAAAATTGGAGAAACCGGACCGCATCATCGAGAAATATCTGTCCCCTGCTCTTGCGGAGTTGAAGGGTAAGACGGACGGCAGTGACGCTGGGCAAGTTTATCACGAATTCGCAGTTTTCTGTGACAGACAGTATCAAGATCCCGACAGTATTGAAGACCTTGAACGTCTGAGGACGCTGAAAGAAATGAAAGAAATGGAAGTTGAGACTCTTCTCAAGTTGTCTAAAGAGGCTACGTCGGGCCAGAAGCAGAGAAACCATAGGGCATACAACCAAGCTAAGCAGTGGCTTGCATTGGACACCGAGGAGTACGAGCGGCTGAATGATGGAAGAGGGCAGCTACTCCGTCGTAGCCTGGAGAACTACCTATTATCTTTGGCTGCCTGGGATGACCACAATAACGACGCTCTCCGGTTCACAGCATTATGGCTAGAACACTCTGACGAAGAAGTTGTATCAGAGTCCGTTTCAAAGTATCTCTCTAATGTTGCTACTATGAAGTTTGCATCGTTGGCCAATCAACTTACATCACGCCTACTTGATACCAAGGATAAATTTCAGGTGCAACTACTCAACTTAGTTCTGAATATATGTAAGGATCATCCTCACCATGGGATGTATCAGATTTGGGCAGGCACGAATAGCAATCCAAGCGCAAATGATGAAACAGCCTTATCGAGGCAAAAGGCAACGAAAGAGGTTGCTCTCAAGTTGAGCAAGAGCGCCAGATCCGGTGGTACTTGGTCGGCCATAGATCGAATAAGCCACCAGTACTGCCATTTTGCCAGTGAGCGAGAGAAGGTCAAGAGTGGTTCAAAGATAAGCTTGAGAAATTCACCAGCGGGCAGCGCGTTGAATGCCATGCTGCCAAAGAACCCGCTTCCTCCACCAACTCTACAAATTGAACTTGCAACGGATAAAAATTATTCTCGATTGCCTACCATGATCAGCGTCGACCCCAGCTTTTCTATCGCAAGCGGCATAAGTGCTCCAAAGATTGTTACATTACTGGCCAGTAATGGAAAGAGATACAGACAATTGGTAGGGTTTCTTTCTCCTTATTTTATACTCGGAGTGTTTGCTAATACATCGTAGGTTAAGGGTGGTGCTGACGATCTCCGGCAAGATGCAATCATGGAACAGGTCTTTGCACAAGTCAGCGAACTCTTAAAAGAGAATTCAGCCACTCGCCAACGCAATTTGGGGATTAGAACGTACAAGGTATTACCGCTCAGCTCTACAGCAGGCATTATTGAGTTTGTCCCGAACACTATGCCACTTCACGAATTCCTCATGCCTGCCCACGAAAGGTTTTATCCAAAGGATCTTAGAAGTCAACAGTGCCGCAGCGAAATTCAGAGTGTCCAGACGCAAAAACTCGATGTGAGAGTGAAGAAGTATCTCGCCGTCACAGAGAAGTTCCATCCTGTTCTGAGGTACTTTCATTTGGAGAAGTTCACGGATCCCGATGAATGGTTCGCCAGAAGGTTAGCATACACACGCTCTACGGCTGCCATCTCAATTCTTGGCTATGTTCTCGGCCTCGGTGACCGCCATGGCCATAACATTCTTTTGGATGAGAAGACCGGCGAAGTCGTTCACATCGACTTGGGTGTGGCTTTCGAAATGGGTCGTGTCCTTCCGGTTCCTGAGCTGGTCCCGTTTCGGTTGACTCGAGACATTGTGGATGGCATGGGGATTTCGAAAACGGAGGGAGTTTACCGTCGCTGTTGCGAGTTCACGCTGGAGGCCTTGCGGAAAGAGGCAGATACGATCATGACTATCCTTGACGTTCTTCGCTACGATCCCCTATATACATGGTCGATCTCGCCTATCCGACTTGCGAAGTTACAGGATGCTCAGAGTGCAGCCCCCCCTATAAGCACTGCTAGCTCAACCGCTACGAATAACGGAAAGTCGAAAGGAGCAGTAAATGAACCCAGTGAGGCAGACAGAGCGCTTACTGTCGTCCGGAAGAAATTATCAAAGACCTTGAGTGTTACAGCTACTGTGAACGATCTAATTAACCAAGCCACCGATGAACGGAATCTAGCAGTCCTTTTTGCTGGTAAGTACATTCTTTCATTATGGGGGATAATTGCTAATTATTTATAAGGTTGGGCTGCATACGCATAATCGCAGGGGATGATTGATCTCTCAAGAAGGGGAAGCAAAATCGGAACGTAGAAAACTTGAGTCTAGCATTTTAGCTTTGCCATATACCACTGTTGCGTTTATCATAGAGATTTTGTATCAACTTCATGTTTGTGTAAATATGAAATCGACTACTTGTCATCAATTTTAAATTTGCACCATTGTAATTCAGTAATGCAGTGTCACTTAATAATATCATTTACCACATAAATAAAACCATCTCTAGTCTCTTATTTTATTAATGTATACAGATTTTTTTTTTGCAACAAGTATTCGATGATTGATACTAGAGTAAATCGAGAATTGTGGCATGAAGTGGTCTGGACCCCTATGAAATAGTGCCAGTTGCCACTAGCGGCTTCCAAGTTCTCGGTTTCAACCCGACGAGTGTCGATGGGGGCTATCAATCTCGTAAGCGTAAGCAACAAATAAGATAAAGAGCGCTGAGTTTCGCATTTTTCCATTGATAACCAATTTCTATAAAGATGGGTTTAGGAATTATCACCGAATCTCAGCCGGTGAAGATGAAGCGTAATAATATTGTGGTATTTTCTGGCGGTAGCGCCGCAAATACCTTGGTGGATGTTTTTGGAAATGTGGCTCGTGAGAAGGGCTGCACGTTGAGCTAGTGAGATATAAATTTCGAAATGCGAACCGTTGCTAATGGATCTTTAGTATTATTCCCATCAGTGATAATGGCGGATCGTCGAGTGAACTGATTAGGGTGCTTGGGGGACCTGGGATTGGTGATGTGCGGAGTATGCTTCGATCCCTCGCCCCTACCTAGTTCAAGGCAGCAATCTAACAATGGACAGGTCGTCTCGTCCGACTAATCCCCGAAGATGTGGCTGGAAATGACCCGGAGAAGGCAGCCATGAAGACATTCTTCAACCATCGCCTCGCATCCACGCCGGAAGCAGCACGCGCAGAGTGGCTCGATATCGTTGAAGCCCGGCACGAGTTATGGACCTCCATCTCCTCCGAGAAAGAGGAATTAATCCGTTCCTTCCTTAACACCATTAACCTCGAGATTGTGAAGCGAGCTCGGCCCTCCTCGTTCTTCAACTTTCAGTCTGCTGCGGTGGGCAACCTCTTCCTCACCGGCGCCCGTCTGTTCACTGGTTCATTTGAATCGGCCATTTATCTTCTCGGATCCATCACGGGGGTTCCATCAAACGTATCCGTCATTCCCACTATTAATTCTAATTTCTCCCACCACATTTGCGCCGGCCTTAGAGATGGAACCTCGATTGTTGGGCAGAACTCCATCTCCCACCCCAGTCCTCTCCCGAACAATCTCCCAGGCGGAGAGGATGACATCGACGGGCCTATGTCACCGACGACCTTCCAACGGAAGACTTTCGAGGAACTCATTATGCATGACAGTGTCGAAGACGCTAATCTTCCGGGCTCCCTCCCGACCCTAAGGAAACAGTATATCGATTTCCACAAGTCTGATACGGAAGACCTACCCTCGAGGATCCGCAGGATATGGTACATCAACCCTTATGGGCAAGAAATACGACCGAGTCCGAACCCAAAGGCTCTTGCGGCCTTGGGAAACTCGCAAGCTGTGATTTACAGCATCGGTTCCCTATATACGTCTATCATCCCGTGCTTAATATTGAAGGACGTAGGAAACGCTATTGCTGCCCCTGGCATTAAATCGAAGATTTTGATTCTCAATGGCTCAATAGATCGCGAGACTGGCCCAGAAACGAATCCATATTGCGCTCGAGATTTTATTTGCGCCATCTCCAACGCGTGTGGAACATCCAGGGGCGATCTAAGCGTTGATGCCGCGTACATGAACAAATATGTCACGCACGTGATTCACCTCGAGGGTGAGGGGACACCAAAGGTTGATAAAGAAGAGCTGAAGAGTTTGGGTATTGAGACTTTCAGAGTGTATGGGAGGAAGAATCCAGAGGGTGGGATGCTGTACGACGGGAAAGCGTTGACACAGGCACTTGAGTCGATATTGGGCAGGGAGGATAAGGGTGTTGCAAGGAGAAATACGTTACAGCATTAAAAATAATGTACATTAAAGGATTCATTGGTATATATATATGATCATAAACTCTTCGTTGCGCTATCAGCTCTCATGAGGTATCTGAAAACCGAGCCATCACCATCTGCTAAGCTTGTCCTTCCGCTTTACCTCCAAACCGCGTGATGCCTGCCTAATAGTACATGGTATTGTGGGTGGAAATAATGTTCGTAGGAAAGTAGCTCCAAGTCCCGCACCAACGCATCTAATAACCCGCCCATATGCTCCCACGCCCATCATGCCCCCATATCCATGTGCATGATCCGATACTGCCCCCAATCACCGCCCCGACACGCCGCCGTCATTTATATATTGTCATTATCGTAACGCAGGCTTCTTTCCTTGCTTCTTTGTCATGAGTTTCATCGCCAGGTGGAACACGCCGGTCTTGGGCTGTTTCCCGTCCTTTTTCGGTGCTCCGATTGCTGTGCGGCAGACCGGGCACGATCTCTTACCAGTGCCGACGTTGAGAGCACCATGGAGGCACGAAGAGCAAAACATGTGTCCTACAATAGTTAGCATTGTCATGCAATAAAGATCACAAATAATGACTTACCACAATGAGTAATAGCCAGTTCCTCTGGCTGATCTAAACAGATCACGCACTGCGTCGTAGCAAGCTTCTGGGGTTTATTAAGCTCTGCTTGCCGTTGTTGCTTTATCAGGTCCTCCTGCCGCTTCTTCATGACTTCAGCGTAGCTGGTGTCGTCTTCCGCATCGATCAGGTCCAGTTCCTCCACCTTATCATCTGGTTTGCTTTTTTGGTGATCGTCCTTCACTGCCTCTAGACTGACCCCAGCGTCCTTCTTTCGCTTTGGCGTTCGGCCTTCACTGTCTACACTTGGTAGACGGCGCTTCTTGGGTGTTCTGGTTGTGGCGACAGGTGAGGTTTCGGTGAGGTCGACTATGCTGGATTCTCTCGTGCGGGTGGGAGTCTGTTGTGGAGGTGTATTATTATTCAAGAAGGCGTCGAAATCGAAGTCCTGAAGAACATCATCCCCCCGTGGCGAGGGAGGTTCGTGTTGCGGCATTTGTGTGGTTAAGAACGTGTCTTGCCAGGACCTTCGTTGTCGGTCACCGCGGGGTTGTTGCGGTCTGGTCGCGTTGCTGGAGCCTAAGAGCATGGGCAGAGTGGGGGAGGCGTTTCTGGAAGACCGGCGGGATACATTGATCCATGGAGAGCGTGAGGTTGAGGTGCGACGGGGCTCCTCATCCTCTGGCGACGATACGAATAGTGATTGGCGGTTTGAAGACGGAGTGCCCATGGCGAGACTGTGATGCGACCTGGAAGGATCCAACAGACCACAGTCGTAGATGCCTGTTGAGGAATAAGAGTTTGTCCCCAGCCCTTCGGTCTTCTTCACAGACAAAGAGGTGTGCTGGGGCTGAAATTCACAGCCATAAGAAGGCAGTTACGTGTATCTAAGAGGGAGAGATTATGTGTATGGCTTCAATACCTAAACGCCGCCTCGGGACGGTTGGATGTCCGCAGTGGCGACCGTGGTGACCATAGCGCTAGTCTTCCGCAGAACCTTTATCGGACGTCGGCGCAGCAGGTCAGCTGACTCGCCGTACCAAACTTCGGTAGGTTCGGCCGCTCTGCACCCGGAAACGGAAAATCCTTTTCGGTTTCTCTCAATATCAACTCCACCCAAAATAGCTAGAATATGGATGAAAGGAGTTAAATCGATGAACGATAAGATAACATTTGATTCAGTTATATATGGCAGCCTCTACAGTATGATCGCGTGCTCTGTGCCTCAGAGAAAGAACGATCCAGCTCCTTCTGGATCGCACTGACCCACAGGATATCACCAACGCCACTCTAATCATCCAATGAACTAGGCCATTTTATCACCTTTTTATTAGAGCAGTTATATTGGACAACCGATTTATATTTATTCGATCGAAACACAAAAAGACGTCATTAATCTCAGAAACGCTACGGCCCAAGATAGCCAAGCCTAGAATCGTTCGCATCTTACCTAACCCATTACCTAACCACGTGACACGGCGAAGCACCGCGACCATCTCAAGACCCTTGGCTAAGGCGTATTCGTGCTTTTGTGTCTCCGTTTTAGGGAATTCGCTTTCTTCAATATCAAGATCAAAGGACATAAGGCGATATTGGCAGTCTACTAAAAGCAAGGTCATCAACTATGGCACTTACGCTCGTGTTTGATGGCATTTTGAGATGTTATGTAGGTCAGATCTGTTGCTGAACAACGCCGAGAAGTTGCTTCCAATTTATATAAAAAAGCACGCCGAACTATTCAGCCAAGTAAGTTGATCTCTACGGCCAAGCTACTTGGTGTTGATTACCAAGCCCTATGGATGAATCATTCGCCATCCGTCCCTGCCATGCTTTATTTATTTTATATTTCCTACGCCTATATATAGGTCGTTCCCCAAGTTATGCCTTGGCTTTTGAATACTTCTAATCTACTGTCATTAAACTACATCGAGTGATACACACAAAACCAAACCTCACTAGTACACTCCATTGAGTGCGTTATAAAAACAAATTTTCCAGTACACACACATAAACCGTCACAATGGCGCGTAGGCCAGCGCGGTGCTACCGCTACTGCAAGAATAAAGTAAGTGCTTCCTATTCCGATGCTTTATCAGAATACTAACCGTCCTAGCCCTTCCCAAAATCCAGACACAACCGCGGAGTTGCCGACCCAAAAATTCGCATCTTCGACAGCGGCCGCAAGAAGGCATCCGCTGATGACTTCCCTCTCTGCATCCACGTCGTCTCTCTGGAGCGCGAGCAAATTTCCTCCGAGGCCCTAGAGGCTGCCCGTATTCAAGCCAACAAGTACGTCTCTCTTCCTACTCCATCAGTTTATACAACCACTAACATATAAATAGATACATGGTCAAGAACTCCGGCAAGGAGACCTTCCACCTTCGCATTCGCACACACCCTTACCACGTCATCCGTATGAACAAGATGTTGTCTTGTGCTGGTGCAGATCGTCTGCAGCAGGGTATGCGTGGCGCCTGGGGTAAACCCGCCGGTATCGTTGCTCGCGTTAGAGTCAACCAGATTCTGATTTCGATGAGAACGATTGATCGTTGCGAGCTCCAGGCCAAGACGGCGCTGAAGAGAGCCATGTACAAGTTCCCCGGTCAGCAGAAGGTGGTCGTCAGCAGGAACTGGGGATTCACGAAGGTTAAGAGGGAGGACTATCAGAGAATGAGGGAGACCGACCAGCTGAGACTTGACGGTGCTGGTGTGCAGTTCCTTGAGAAGAAGGGAAGGATAGAAGACCAGATCAAGAACTTTCCAGCTGCATTTGCAGATGGGATTGGTGTGGAGCAGCTGGCGATCTGAGAGGCTTGAAGGCTCGAAGATTGCCAGAGGTAGCAATAGTTAAAATATAGGATACAATATACAAGAATTATCCACACACTGTATTTTTGTCGATAAACAAATGCTTATGTGAAATAAATGTTCCTCGTCGTCTTTCTCATAAACGCCATCTGGCCGTTGTCTTTTAAAAAAGTGACATAAATTTGCGTTCTAATTAATAATATAATTTATGTCCTCAATTTAATAAAATGATTTTATTTCTCGCTTTTGCATCTTTTTGGGGGGGACGCAGTTGCTGGCTTTCCTCTGCAAACATTCTCATTTTCATTCTCCTGACTTGGATTGGAAGACCCCGACATCCGATACCCCACATTCTGGATCATTGTAACGTAAGCGACGCTAACGTGGATTTGGCGATGGCCTGCAATATTGCTCGAAGTAGCTCGATAGTGGCACGCCCGCATCATCGACCGATGTAAGATTACAATATCGACAACATATGGGCAGCAAGGAGTCATGAGCATGACACGTCGCATATAGTATGCTTCTCCCTACACGCGCTGGATATTCGAGTCGACCATGCGCCAGCTTCGTTAGGCTCGCAAAGCTCAAGGCGCGGGATGAAACCACGCATCTCAGTCGCGGCGCGGTACGACGCGGATTCGCAACAGATGGAGCCATTTTAGAAGATCACCAGACGAAGAACCCCTCTTCTCTTGCCAGTATGTATTGCGCGCGTGACGGTACTATTGTACACCTTACTAACGAGTTATCGCAGAGACTTCAAACCCCCGTTTTAATGAAATAGGGGTGCAGCAACTCAGCAGCCATGTCCACTCCCAAATATTCCCCGGACCGTCAGTTGCGGCGCCGAAAGAACTTGTCGAGCTTGCGAGAGATCATTTGCAGCGACACGAGCTCCTCGGCAAGAATACAGACGACAACCCCCCGATATCGTTCGATTTACCACTACTCCAAGGCGAAACCCTTGATGAGCACTTCTATAAATTAGGCACGGATGCTGGGGAGCCGTACTTTGGCTATGCAAACCAGTTTACGAAGGCAAACGGACCACCGAAACCGCGGAAATGGGTGCATCGAAGCGGCTGGACGAAGTACTACAGTGATGGGAGGACGGAGGCAGTGGATGCGCCAAATGAGGAGATGTTATGTTTCGACACTGAAGTTATGTGGAAGGAGAGCTCATTCGCCGTTATGGCATGCGCAGTCAGTCCCACTGCTTGGTATGCCTGGTTATCGCCATGGCTGCTTGGGGAGTCGGAATCCGATAGACACCTGATACCCCTTGGGGATCCACAACGTCACCGGATAATTGTTGGGCACAACATTGGCTACGATAGAGCCCGGATCGCAGAGGAATACTCTGTAAGCCAGTCTAAGAACTTCTTCCTTGACACCATGTCGCTACACGTGGCCGTCAATGGAATGTGCTCCCGACAACGACCAACCTGGATGAAGCACAGAAAAAACCGAGAGCTACGAGATAAAATCGCACACGAGACAGATAACATCGAATTGGCTGCCCTTTTAGGTGACAGGGGCCTTACCGAAGAAGAGGAGGAGCTGTGGGTGGGCAGAAGCTCTGTCAATTCGTTACGAGATGTAGCCAAGTTCCATTTGGATGTCACCATTGACAAGGCTCAAAGGGACAGCTTTGGCGAACTCGACCGCGCTGGCATTCGAGGAAAGCTGGACGAACTGTTGGATTACTGTGCTGCGGATGTCTCGATCACACACCGCGTGTACAAAATCGTCTTCCCTAATTTCCTCGCGACATGCCCTCACCCAGTGAGCTTCGCTGCATTACGCCACCTATCATCTGTCATACTTCCAGTTGACAAGTCATGGGAGTCATATATCGCCAACGCAGAAGCTACATATCTGAAACTCTCCGATTCCGTCCAGGAACGCCTGATCGCACTGACTGAGAAGGCTCTGGAGATCAAAGGAGATGAGGAGAAGTGGAGTAATGACCCGTGGTTGCGTCAGCTGGACTGGTCGGGCCAAGAAATCAAGATGGTAAAGGGCAAGAAGAAGAATGACCCTCCGAGACCAGCGGCACGGCAAAAGATGCCAGGTATGCCAGCATGGTATAAGGGCCTTTTCGCCAAGGCTGATGCCCCAATCAATTTGACTGTTAGGACCAGACTTGCACCGCTCCTGCTTCGATTGGCATGGGATGGACATCCATTGTTTTGGTCTGATAAATATGGCTGGACATTCCGAGTGCCAGTAGCTGAGTCTCAGAAGTACAAGGAGTTGCAGATGCAGAGGTGCACCGAGTTCGATGAGAAGGATATGGCGCTGAGAGACGATACAGGCGGCGTTTTTTACAAGATTCCGCATAAGGATGGACCAACGGCACGGTGTGCAAACCCGATGGCAAAGAGCTACATGTCATACTTCGAAAAGGGCATCCTATCTTCGGAATACTCATACGCAAAGGAGGCTCTTGAAATGAACGCTTCGTGCTCCTACTGGATAAGCGCAAGAGACCGCATCATGTCGCAGATGGTTGTATATGACGCTGATCTCCAGAAGCCAGCCAAGGGACAAGCATCTAACGACACGGGCTACATTCTACCGCAAGTTATCCCCATGGGCACGGTGACAAGACGAGCTGTCGAAAATACATGGCTTACAGCAAGCAATGCCAAGGCAAATCGTGTCGGATCAGAGTTGAAGTCTATGGTCAAGGCGCCACCCGGATACTGCTTTGTGGGAGCTGATGTGGACTCTGAAGAGCTTTGGATCGCGAGTCTCGTCGGTGATGCACAGTTCAAGCTGCATGGTGGGAATGCCTTGGGGTTCATGACCTTGGAAGGCACCAAAGCAGCTGGAACTGATTTGCATTCGAGGACTGCGTCGATTCTGGGCATTACGAGGAACGATGCCAAGGTGTTCAATTACGGACGTATCTACGGAGCAGGTCTCAAGTTTGCGTCTACTCTACTCAGACAGTTCAATCCTGGATTGTCGGAAGCAGAGACCACAAAGGTTGCCACGGCTCTGTATAAGGAGACCAAGGGAGCGAAGACTAACCGGAAGGCGTTACACAAGAGGCCTTTCTGGCGTGGAGGAACCGAGAGCTTTGTCTTCAATAAGCTTGAAGAATTTGCAGAGCAGGAGAGGCCGCGGACGCCAGTTCTCGGAGCAGGAATTACTGAAGCATTGATGAGTCGATTCATCAACAAAGGTGGCTTCATGACTTCGAGGATCAACTGGGCGATTCAATCTTCTGGTGTCGACTATCTGCATCTTCTGATAATATCTATGGACTATCTGATTCGTCTGTTCAACATCGATGCGAGACTCGCAATCACCGTCCACGACGAAATCAGATATCTGGTCCGTGAGGAGGATAAATATAGAGCTGCAATGGCTCTGCAAGTGTCCAACGTCTGGACTCGCGCCATGTTCTCTCAACAAATGGGCATCAATGACCTTCCCCAGTCTTGTGCTTACTTCTCGGCCATCGATATTGACCATGTTCTCCGCAAAGAAGTGGATATGGACTGCATCACCCCATCGCACCTAACAAAAATCCCCCACGGAGAGTCAATGGACATCATGCAGCTCCTTGCCAAGGGCTCGCTCGCAAAACTGGAGCCTAGCATCCAGCCGACCGACGCACCAAAGCTCGACGGCATTAAGTACACCCATCGCCAACCGGTGATGGAGGCGCTAGAGAAGGCTAACCTCAGCTTCCTCAAAGCACAAATCACAGCCGACGAGAACGAACTAAAAGAGATCGTCAAGGTCCAACGCAAAGTCCTCGACGCCGACGAAAAAACCGCTAAGCCGAAGCAAACACGCGCTCGCAAGATCCTGCCATACCAGGCGCACGCAGAATTGATGGAGGAGCCACTTAATATCACTGACTTGCTAGAGAGCAACTTCAGGAAGGACACGAGGAAGAAGAAACAAGAGCACTACCCGTGGGAAGAACAGATGCCGCCGCGGTATAAACCCACACACCGCTGGTAACACACACTATCATATCAGATGTAAGCTTTCATATGTCGGGGAACACAATTGTACAGGATGGATGGGAACGGGAATTGGCGTATTCGAGCGTTGTTGGCAGGGGTGTAGTTGAACGGGACAGCGGCGCTTTTTGTGTGAGAATAGTGTATTTTGGGCTAAGGTTGTATATTTGATTGTACGGGAATAGCGGGCTGCTAACAAAAGACGACGGGATGTCTGTAATGAAAACTGTAATACTCGTATTTTATTCTGGCTGGTCTTTTAACAATGCAATTTCACGTGATATTAACCTTGTTGGGATCAACGTCGCTCAGCCACAACGAGGCGGCTGACATGCTATACGGAAGGATCACTTCGATGCGAGTGTTCCCAAAATAAATTCACAGATGCAGGCTGCGAAAAGGCTTTTCTAGCTCCCCTCCCCACGCCCAGCCTCGCACCTGCTCCAGGCACCCCAATCGCAGGACACATGCATCACGTGCCATGTCCACCCCCGACAACAACGACTCCCCCCTCTCCATCACCTCCTCCGTTACGGGGATCCTCACCTTCCTCGTCGCCATAACGGCCACAATCTGGCTCCGGATCTCCGCCATCCGCACCGCCGACACCGAGTACTCGCGCGTCAAAACTGCCCTGAGCTGGTACAAAACCGAGTCAGAATGGATCCACGACCTCGTCGCCACGCAGCGAGATGCCCAGGACAGGAGCAGGGGGAGTTTCGATAGTTATTTCTTGGATAAGGATTTGGCTTGGAGGGAGAAGGGGAGGGGGAGGCAGAGGGAAACGGAGATGTATGTTTTTGTGCTTGATCAGCTTGGGACCCTCGAGGCGAGGTTGTTGGAGATGGTTACGGCGGTGGAGGTTAAGGCGGAGGGGAGCTGGAGGGAGTGGCAGGGGGAAGGGCAGGGGGCGGGGTGGGGAGGGGGGGCGAAGAGGTGGTGGAGGAGGACGAGGATTGGGGTTTATTGGTTGCCGGTTAGGACGAAGGCGTTGGAGTTGGTGAGGCAGAGGGATGCGTTGGGGAATAGGGTTTTGTTTGCGCAGTTGGCGATGGTTTCTTCGTAAGTACTTTTTTTTGGTAGATGGGGGGGGGGGGATTGGGGGCGTTGGAGGTTTGGAAGCTGACGTTGTGTAGGAGGTTGGCGGATGGGGAGGAGAGAGCGAATAGACAGGATGAGAGGATTAGGGAGTTACTGGATACGGTGAGGTCGTTTGATGAGAGGTTGCCGTGAGTTTGATGGGAAAGGATGGGTGGGTTGGCGTTTTGGTTGGGATATCGACCTGGAGTCGTTGTATTGGATATAAAAGGTATGTGGCAAGCCATATGATATTATCATATCATAACTGAGAAAGTCTAAGAGGGAGAGCACGTGGCATATATCCTTTTGTATATATTTTGGCCGCTGTTGCTTTGAAGTCCGCCATTAGAATGACCGGAAATCATTGGAAGTTAGTTTGCTTGTAGAAGCATGCAGAACCATTGTTTGAGCAAAGATGATGTTTGCCTTGTGTGTGGCCTGACCTGACATAGACATGTCAGGTGGATCCCTGTGAAACCAAACATAAGCCTCGCCAAACACGATGAATCGTATCCCTAGATTTGGCGCAAATCCATCTACAAACATACCAATCTGCGCAAAACCGGTCCCAAGTTCACCCGAACGGATCATCAAGTCTTCTGGACGTAGTCAGTTCTTCTGAAATTATTAAGGATGGCCCGTGTGCTCTTATCAAAGTGATACATGCCTCCTTTAGGACAAGGTCATCATTCATCAGCTTTGCCAAAGGAAAAATGAAGCCATCTGAAGATATTGCGCAAATCCGCCCCGCACTAGATGGATTTGCGCAAAAACCACAAGAGACCCTGCCACTCTGTATATTCTAGCACATAGAGCCCCTAACTGACCGTGTTACCACCTATTCTTGCGGTTCTTTCAGTGTCCAAAAGCCCCTATGTGACCCTGGTCCCCCTAGAATTTCGACCATAAGCCCCTAACTGACCCTGTCACATAGCAGATTTCTAGCACAAAGACCATACAAAGCCGGGCTCTTATCACTCTATCTATTTCTAGCACAGATACGCCCCAAAGTTAGCCTTGCCGGTCCTTCGGGTCAACGTGAAGCCGGCACCCTGGGGCATTTTACGCAAATCTGTCTAGAGGTGAACAGATTTGCGCAGAAGCGGGGTTTCATTAACCCGGCCGGTCATGTTTGTCTTGAAGGGACGTCAGTCAACGTTGTGGGAAAATGAGAAGGGATTGCAGACTGACCTAGTCATGGATAGAGCTGACAGAGTCGATTAGACCTCAAAGACTGGACATGCTCAGAAAGGGACATCACTCAGCAGGACTAAGAACTCATACCATACACATATTGTTCTCCAAACGTAAATTGCCATTCCTCCCGGCCACGCAAACGCTGTAATGTAATGGGTATCCAAAGCATATATAGCATCATACCTCCCTCCCCTCCATCATCACATACACCCCCATGTCACAAATTGGACCCGCTCCAGCGCCCGGTTTATATACAAAGAATCGAACCAACCTTTGTTCCACATCATATCCCACAGCACCCCCATCCCTCAAGACCCCCCTACGCCGCCTCCTCCATCCCCTCCCACCCCCCCTCCATCTCCAAAAACGCCCTCACCCTCCCCCTCACCTGCCCCAGCTCCCCCCCCAACGCACTCTCCCACTGCTCCTCCACACACCTAACCTTCTCCTTCAAATCATCCGTCAACGTCCTCCCCTCCGCCTCCGTCTCCTGCTCCACCTCCCCCCTCACAACCTCCGCCTCCTCCCCGCCCGCCACACGCTCGCTCTCCTGCGCACGCGCTCGAGCTGCCGTAACAGCCGTCTTCACCTCGTGTAACAGGCAGAGGAGGTTCGTCTGGCTCTCGATGAACTGGTATGTGCTTCGACCACCGTGCTCGAGAAGGCTGTAGAGGTACTGCATCGGCCACTCGTGGTAGGCGGGGTTTTCATCGTATTCCCCGGCCGGGATCTGCACGCGGAACTCCCTCGTGACAATCCCAGGGATCTTATCCAGTATACTCCTCAACCCCGGCGCAATGTCCCAGAAGGCACTGAGCTGCACCTCCACCCCCCTCACCACATTCGCCTCCACAACATCCATAAACTCCATCGTCCTCCCCAACGCCCCCTGCGCGAACTCCACCCTCCTCTTCCCGGCATCATCAGCAAAAAAGCGTTCCGCGCCCACGACCTTATCCTCCCGCCCCGCCAGCCGGTAAGGTTCAATAACCATATCCCTATACCGATCATTCCGATCCGACAACAAATCATAAAGCTCCGCATGCAACTGCTCCCGTGCCTCAAAAATCCATTTCAACAACGTCAATTTCTCCAACAACTCAGGCTGCTCATCCCCCTCTTCCTGCGTGGCCGTCGGATCCTGCGCGCGCGCGTCGTCGAAGAGCTGGCTGCGGAGCTGCTCAAAGAGCGTGGTGCAGGTGTGCACGCGCTCCATTAGCAAATCATTCACGGGCGCTACGACGGCGGTTTGGAAGCGCTCGAATGAGGCTTTGGATGTTGCTTTCGTGTGCTCGTTCTCTGCTGCCGCTGCATCAGATTCTGCCTTCGCAGCATCAGCATACGTCATACTCCCGGCCTCGATATCGCGCGCGATGGTAGCGCGGAGGGCTTGTCGGCGCTGTGTAGCTGCTGCGGAGGCGGTGTGGCGCGCCTGTTCGTCGTCGGTGAGGAAAGTGGCTTTTGTGGCTTCGACGTCGGTGAATTTGCTGAGTTGCCGGACGGTGGTGCGGATCTCGGTTAGGTCGGGGTGGTTGTTGTTGACGGCGGGGTGGTGGCGGGGGTAGGGAGGCGGGAGGGTGACGAGGCGCGAGACGTCGAGGTGCCGGGGGTTGGGGGTGGGAGGGGCGGGGGAGTGGTTGAAGTGGTTTGTGGGGGTTTTGTGGGGGGGGGAGATGGGGCCTTCATCGTGCCAGCCTGTTTTCTCGGGGGGGTATTCGTCGGGGCCGTAGGAGGCGTAGTTACTAGGGCCTGCTTTTGGAGATGACTGGGGTAGCTGCGAGGGTGTCGAGTTTCCGTTCCCCTCCCATTGTAGCGACTCGCGAAGCTCTCGCGGCATTCCCATGTACTTTGACTCCCTCTTCGACCGCTCCAGCACTGTTGGCGACCCTCCCGAACCAGATTGCCCAACTTCCCACCACCTACTCGACGGTCTGCCCCTGGAGCTTGACTCCTCCTGAGCTTGACTCGCGCTCATACTAGGAATCGGCGACAGCGACGGCATATACCCCGTCCACCACGTTGATTCCGGCCTCGACCCCGGTCCCGCAGAACCCATACTCGACGCCGACGACGGCGCCGAATCAATCGGTCCAGTCTGCAGCGGTGGCAGACCGCTGAGCCCCTTATGTTCTGCAGTACTGGTGTGCGAACCGAATGAGCTCCGTTTCGAGTGCGTATATGGTCGGAACAAGTCCCGTGTCAGCTCTAGCACCTCCGAGCCCATTGCATCAATGGCTGAGGTGTATAATTCTCGCCGAATCCGCGATTCTGAAACGATAAAATCGGCAAAGAGGCGGATGCGCTCCTCGTCCGTGTTTGCTGACGCCTCGCGCAGGATGAACTGCTCATGCCTCTGCAGCGCTGCGCTGCTGAAACTCCCAGCTGCTGGCGACGGTGACTGACGAGACGGTGCGCGCTTCGGTGATAATGGGACCGGCATACCCTGGTCCTTCAATGGCGTGTGTAAGATGTGCGAGATCGGTCGAGGCGAGCTGTCCGCGCGACGGCGAGAGATCGGCGGAGGAGTTGGGAGAGACTTGGGTGGTATATTCGGGTTGTGGCCTTGATACGAGTTCCGTGATGGATACTGTGCGGGCGAGAACGGCGGCGTAGGCGCCTCAGTGCGACTTGCAGAGTTCAATGGCCTGGGCGTCGAGCCACGAGACTCGGGCTGCTGGATATCCGCCAACCGAGGCGTAACATGGCTGAGTGTCCGCGACGAATTCGGCGTATTCTGGCTTTGGTAGTTGGGTGTTCTCGATGAGTTCGGGGTATCCTGGTTCTGGAAGGAGCGTGCGCTGGAGGGGTTCGATTTTGCAATTTCTGGGCGCCTGCCAAGCACAGTCATAGGCGGCACCATAATATCAGCGGGTGTAATGGCTTCTGCCCAGGGATTGTTCGAAGGCTCTTCAATCGCAACAGCTTTGCCCGATCTACTCTCGCTCCTCCGCTCGCGAATGCTCTTTGGTTCGCCTCGAACCGCATGCGCTCTTGTTAATCCGGACGAGCTGGAGCCAGAATTCGACTCTGTGTGGCCGCTCGAGCTGACACTCGATGTGTCGAGATGTAGCGCTCCCGGAGGGAGTGGTGACCGCGGTCGTGGTGCGCCTGGCACCACTCGCGGGCTGTCTACCCAGCCCGCAGGAGTGGGGGGAACAGGGCCTAGTGTAGAAATAGGAGCTGGTCTGCGCGTCGGCGGGGACACAATCGGGTCAACACCCTCTGGACGTGACAGACTTTGTGACCTGGAACCCGACTGCGGGGGTGGCCCTGGCGGAGGAGGTGGTAGTGGCATGCCAGGTGCCCATCTCGACGTCGACGAATTGCGCGAGCGGGAACTGGGGCCTGTGGGAGTTCCGATTGCGCTTGCTGATACCGCGCGCCTGGAAGCTGGCGGCCTTTGCTCAGCAACTATGACGGGGAATGCCTCTGTAGACGGCTCCAAATTAAGTGGTGGGGGCCTGTGCGATGACGATGGTTGGTCTCTTATATCAACCGACCCCCGGGTCCTAGACGATGACGGCTGGTCTCTGCTTATATCTATCGATGCGCGCTGCCTTGACGGCTCTGGCACTTCTGGTGTTGTAGGCTTGCGGTGGAAGACATTTCCAAGATGGCTGAGCAGCGGCTGTGTCCTATCCCTCGATCTTGTTCGCGATGTCGGAGGAGGAGGTGGGAAGGCAGCCGCGGGCACTTCTGGTGAAGGTCTGTACGCGGCGCCCCCAGGGCTACCACGATTTAGCGGTGACGCCGAGGTGGCCGAGTCCAACGGGGAGAAACTAGTCGCACTGTTATGGCTTCGAGGCGGCGAGTAAGGTGGAGGGGCAGGAGCTATATTTTATCATCAGCTACAGCACATTCAATTCGTAGGAGGCTAACACACCCATAACCACATCTGAAGGAGACGGTGAATACCGCCCATTATCAGGCGAATACCCCGTCTGGGCACCACCCCATTGCTGCGGATTGTACTGCCTCACACCGCTGGCAGGTGTATAAGGCGTCTGGTGGTGAAAGGGCGAGCTCAAACTGACTGCAGAGTTCGGGGCCTGGAACTGCGGCTGCGGCGGGCCCAGCTGCGTCGCGAGGGGGTTGAGATTCTGGCGGCGCCGTTGGGAGGCTTCGGCGAGGCTGCTCATTGTCGCGCGCGTAGCAGGCTGAGGGTGAGCACGGGAGGGGGAAGCTCAAGCTGGTGCTGCTGCTGCGACTTCACGGGGCGAGTTGCATCAGGCGCGGCTATCACAATAGAGCTTGGGGTTTTGTCGCGCGCCACAGGCACTTGGCGATGAGAGTGCAGCAGATACGGGCCACGACGAGAAATAGGTTGAGGCGACCAGTTCGGCGGCCATATAGGGAGGAGAGGCAAGAGGCGCGACGTGGATTAGGTAACAAGCTTGTGGCCAACAAGCTCTGGCTATAAAAACGCTGATATGCAGGCAATCATGGAGGTTGCCATATTACAGTAGACGAGGCTCGGTCCTCTCCCTGACAGCCAGAAGAGACTCCACCTTGTTTTCCAAGGGAAGTGGTCATGTCTTGGAAACGGGTTGGGCGTGGGCCCCTCCCCGGCTCTGCATTATCTTCTGGCATCACAGAGCGAACTATATTGGCCGCATCAGGTGCGATTGGCCTGGGACTGCCCGTGGTATGCACACTTCATGCAGCACGGGGAGCACGATTGGGGTGTATGGGGGTGTATGGGGGTGTATGGAGTGGAATTCTCAGGGGATCCCAGGGATGACCCAGGGACGGTCCCCTGCACTAAATGCATGGGGAGCGCACGCCATGGCCGGGAGTGGTGTGTACTGTCCGGAGAGTGCAGCGTGCTGTGGTACTTTACGCATGTAAAATGCGACAGGATGGCACAGTGTGCTTGGTCGGTGAATCGTACATGAAAATGCTGGGTCTATCCCCTTGAAGAAGTGAAGATGTGAGCGAAGTACAAGCTGTAGAGGCTGTGATTCGCCGTTATCGCCGGCGTGGGTTGGTTGTTTGGGAAGTATTGGCACGTCGGCGGCTAATAGGCGACTGTGAGTGGTGGGTGGCGGGAGGGACGGGGGAGGGAAAAGGTAAGGGAACGGGGAAACAGAACGGGAACCGGAAGTGGGCGGGGGATGCTATTAATAGATGGGGGACGGCAGTAAAATAGACCGTTCAGGGCAACGATAGCAGACAGGAGTCTACCAGGAAAATATTTGAGGGCGCACAGGACAGAAGGGCCGTGGAGTCCACCCAGAGAGAGAGCAGCCTCTTAATCACAGATCACGTTATCTCGTACAACAATGGAAGAGTATTATAATACAAGTATGTTAAGTGGTACAGTTTTAGACGCACTTGCCGACATACTTGCCGACTTCTGCCTTCGAGCGAGGGAGTTGTACGTACAGCGTACAGCGTAGAGAGTAGATTATGAATCAAAGTCACGTGATCTACGTCACTCTACCCTACCACCGTCACTGGATCAGTCTCATCTCTCCGATACAAAACACACACAGTATCATAGACAACTTATCATTTCTCACCCATAAATTCAAGACAGGGCACCACCCTTTCTCCGACGCCATAACCTATAAACCAAACCTAAAACCAATAAATCCCCGGCTTCATACTACCCTACCTGCACTTCATCCCCGATACCCCTCAATCCACCCAAATCTGCCGCCATGGCGCAGTGGTAACGCGTCGCACTTGTACCACTTGGACAGAACAACTGTCTTTCATGTCGTGAAATGCGAAGATCCCTAGTTCAATTCTGGGTGGCGGCACGTGACTTTTAATTTTTTGCGTTTTTGCTGGTACGAGCTAGCGAGGGGCATTTCGGGCATTTCGCTGACTGACTCGAGTGATTCGTATGTGCTTATATAATCTCTTACGTAATCATCCAATGCGAGCCTTAGGGCTGGCTGTCCGTGTCCTCGGCACATCCACACTCGACCATAATAGGTCTAGCGTAAATGCAAGTCATCAACAGATCGGATCGTGAATATCATCTTTTATGGTACGATGAGAATGTCAACAGATCGATTTTATCAACGATTCAGGACCACTTACGCGTCTTCCGCGTATGGATATGCTCTACGTACTGTACATACATACATACATACATACTTCACGACTAATGTCCATTTTTGCCCTTCTACCTCCCGTTATTCCCTTCAATCACTGCTGTGAACATCACTGAGACTACTGTCTTGCCCAATTTCGGCATACGTGGAGAATCAAATGGGGCAACTGCACATGTGAGAACGGCCACAAGTGGAACCTCAACTTTCCCCTCCATCCATCCACGGCCCTCTACAGCCCTCCCTTCCCTTCCATCCCTCCCTTCCCGACCCACCAGCCTGGCCCTCCCTCCCACAACCGCCACCAGCCTTTCAACGAAGACGGGGTGAGACCCCCTCAGCCACCGAATCAAAAGCAGAAGAACCAACCCCAAGCGGACCCAACCCTCCTCGCCATGACGCGCACCCACAGGTCTCGGGTGCTAGCGTCCCAAGGTGGCACGATGCAGCCGCGGTCGTACGGGCCCCGAGCGAGCAGAGCTTTTCGAAGCTCGTCCCGGCGCCCCCGACCTGGCATCTTACAAAGTCACCCGTCCTGACAATTGCACAACATCAACAATCCGGTGACACAAGTTAAAAATAACAAGAGAGAAAGAGAGAGATTGCAACACGATCAATCGCTCTTGGATTTTCGCATATCGAAGTCGTCGTTCTTGCAAACCGCACACACTTCTGACCCACGTACGCTCGTTTTTTAAAAATCACACGCGACACACTCGACACGATGGCTGGAAAGGGAAAGAAGGGAAAGTCGAAGGGCGGAAACAAGCCCAAGGCTGCGTCGCAGGCGCCCAAGCAGACCCCGGCGGTTGAGGCTGGAGCCGCTGCTGCTGCCGTTGCTGCGAACTCGTCGCCTCCCATTGACAGCGAGCTTATTACGCCAGGCGCGTTGGATTTGAAGATCAGTGATCCGGAGGTCGCTGCGGTTGCGGGAGAGGAAGCGGGGGATAAGGCGGCGTCTGAGACTGGTGCTGCTGCCGCTGCCGCTGCTCCTGCCGCTAAGGCTGTGGAGAAGGAGACAGAGGCGCCAGTTCCTGCTGCTGAGAAGCTGCAGAAGGAGGAGCCTGTTGTCGCTGAGACGAAGAAGGAGGAGCCAATTGTCGCTGCTGCTGAGAAGCAGAAGGAAGCGCCAGTTGTCGCCGAGAAGCAGAGGGATGCGCCAATTGCTGCTGAGAAGCAACAAAAGGAGGCACCTCTCCCTGCTGCCGTAGGCGCACAGAAGGATGTGTCAGCTCCCGCTGCTGAGTCGAAACAAGCTCCCACCATCGGAGGCGCAAGCGCTGCCCCTCTCGCTGCTGGTATTGCGTCTACTAAGAGCGACTTCCTGGCAAACAACAACCCCTTCATCGCTGCGCCCACAAAGGAGGCCCCCCCCGCAGTCGCCGCGCCCGTGAAGGAGACCAAGCCCTTCGAGAGCCCTGCCGTCGCTGCACCTGTTAAGGAGACCCCAGCACCAGCAACCGAGACGGAGGCATTCAAGGATATCCCCATCCAATCCGAGGAGACCGTGCCAGCTCCCAAGGTCCAGCAACCAGAGGTCGCCGTGCCCTCGCACGCAACCCCACCTGCCAGCACAAACCCCTACACGCAGCCACTCAAGACAACCAACGAAGGCGTAGCCAAAGTCGAGAAGAAGATCGCCGCCGACGGCTTCGAAGCCGCTCCCCTAGCCAAGCCCACCCCCCTCCCCACGGCACCCGACCACGTCACGGAAACCACCCCTTACCAACCCCCCGCGCCCGCCGCCGCCGTCCCGCAACCGCAGCAGCCCACCACCACCACCGCGGCCGCCCCCATCCCCGCACAGGACACGACCACCGGCACCGCAGGAGTGCGTTCCCCGTCCCCGTCCCCCGCCCCCGCTCCCCGCCCCGCCTCCGCCACGCCGCTCACCGAACTGAAACTGATGCAGACCTCAGCGTCCGACGCCGAGCACAAGTCCGGCTGCTGCGTCGTCCAGTAAGCTGGCCCGCGGGGCGCCCGATTCCGATTCCGCGAAGATGCAGGCGCCGAAGAGAAGTCCGTCGCGGAAGGAGAGCGAGGCGAAGGAGTTCTGGCCGGCTGTGTATACGTCTTCTCCCCGCCCTGAGGAGAGAGGTGGGGATGGGACCAAGACTCAAACTCAAATGAAGACTCAAACTCAGAATCAGACTCCCACACCATCAGCGCCTTCAAACCACCCGCCCGCCCTCGCATCACCAGCACACATCCCCTCTCCCCTCCCCACCACCACCTCCACAACAACCACCAGCACATCCCGCACCCCCCCTCCCCCCCCCCGCAGCCCCTCCCCCCTCTCCCAAGGCCGCCCAACCTCCCCCCTCCCCCTCGGAAACGCATTCCCCCTCGGCCCACCCGCCCAAAAATCCGCTCCCCATTCCGCGGAAGACATTTCAGACCCGGGCTACTTACCGGTTGAAGACACGGTGGACGGGTTTATCAATCCCTGGAGCCGGGCTGCGCGGTTGGGGGGCGTTAAATCGCCTGTTACTGGTGGTGGTGGTGATGCGGATG